AAAAACAACACTTTCACAAAGTCAAATTGATACTCCAAATTGCTGGCAAGGTCAGGGTCATGACCAGGAGCATTATCCATGAGGAGAAGAACCTTTAAAGGGAGTTTATTGGTGGTTAGGTAGCTCTTGACAGAAGGGCAAAACACATCAACAGCCCATTCATTAAAGAGCTGTCTTGTCACCCATGCCTTACATTTGGACTTCCAATAAACTCCAAGTTTTGTTCTTACCACTTTCTGTTGCTTAAACACCCTGGGGTTTTCAGAGTGGTAGACAAGCATAGGCTTCAGTCGGAAATCCCCTGAAGCATTGGCACCAAGCAATAGAGTGAGACGGTCTTTCATGGGTTTATGCCCAGGTAAAGAGGCTTCATCTTTGGTGATGAATGTTCTTTTGGGCATCTTTTTCCAGAACAGCCCAGTTTCGTCCACATTGAACACTTGCTGTGGAAGATAATTTTCTTCTTCCATCAGTTTTTTACATTCTGCTAAAAACTTTACTGCCCCTTCTTTATCAGCACTAGCAGCTTCACCATGCCTAACAACACTTAAAATGTCACTTCTTTTCTTAAATTTTTCGAACCAGCCTTTGCTGGCCCGAAAATCTTCAAATTCTGTGCCTGAAGAACCAGGTTGATCTGCCTTTAAATGTTCATAAATCTCCCTGGCTCTTTCACAAATGAAATCACCAGAAACTGAATCACCTTTCATCTGTTTTCCCTAATCCAGATTATAAGTAACCTCTCAGTTTCTATGATTAGGGATCTACTTTTGAACACTCTTGTAGATTTGTCTCACTTTCATTTCTGTAAATTTGTCTTTCTGTGCAAGAATTGTCGACACAGTTGATGCCAACATGCCATATTCTTTGCTAAGCACATTTGATTTAATGCCTTGTTCATGTTTTTTTATGATTTCCTGTTTGGTTTGGATTGAAATAGATTTTCTTGATCTCTTAGGCCCCATGCTGGATTCAAACAATGTCAATACGTGTTTTTCAAAGTTAAACTAGCCGTAAATAAAGAATATTTTCTTTAAAATAACACTGCACTGCGCTATACTGTATATTGTCAATATGTAAAATAAATTTCAAAATGACCAATAATTTGCTTGGAAACACAGAAAAAAAGCGTTTAGTTGAAGAGAGTCTCAAGTAAGATGTTACCTCCACTGAAAACAGAGAGAGACTAACGCCTGTCTGGTGTGTTAACAGGCTGGATGGCACGCCAGAAACTAGTTTCTTTACCTTCAATTATGTTCAATAATTGTTAAAATGACTAAAAAATTGAATATTAAACTTTTAAAATAATTGAATAGTATAAACTTCTTGATATTTACTAAAATAGTAAGGCATTTAAGCCCTAGAACCGATTAATGTATTGGCGGACTGATACTAAAGCTGGTTGCCCGGTCAGTGCAAGCGAAAACATGTCGAGGTCGGTTCGTAAGAAATTCGTTAGCCGAATTTTTGTTCGTTAACCGAATTGAAGATCCTTATGGAAGGCAGTTCGTTAACCGAAATTTCGTTAACCGAGGCGTTCGTTAAACGAGGGGTCACTGTATATATATATATATATATATATATATATATATATATATATATATATATATATATATATATATATATATATATATATATATATATATATATATATATATATATATATATATATATATATATATATATATATATATATATATATATATATATATATATATATATATATATATAATGCAGGTGGAACTTCTGCTCACTGGTGTATTATTTTCATGGTACTGTATTATTGTTATTTAAAATAATTGTTTGACAACTTCCTGGGTGTTTTCATCCTCGTATTCAATGTTTCTCCTTAAATCAACGTTATTATAAATATCTAATAACCGTTGTTTAAAACCTGAACAACCAGAAAAATTATAAATGAATGGCACATAATCATAAAATAAGGTTCGTCATATTCCCTTTTCAAGCATGTAAACCTAAGATAATATAGTAAATAAATCCATCTTTCCCTTCTTTCTTTCATGAATTTTCCTGCTTTCTTCAATCCCCTCCCTCTCTGATGAGTAACTTGTATCACATACCCCAACAAACGGCCCTCTCCCAAGTCGACCATTCCCCCACCTCCACCCCAAATGACTGACTGTGCAGAAAGGATCCAGGCAGGCACAAGAGTTAGGTGGTGGAGTGGATGATTATTTTTTACTGCATTACTAAACCCTTCTTTGTTAAATATATGTGCTCTTTAGATGCTATATGAAATATAACCATCACAAAAACAGGAAAATATCATTAAAAATGCAAGAGTAATGTAAAACAGTAATGAGCTAACCTTTTTGTTTTTAGGCCTGAAGCTGTATTCTCCTTCGACTCCCCAGCCTCTTGGGGTGGCTACTCTGAGTCAGTGTTGTGAGGTGACATAGGTGTCAAGGGTGGCATTCCTGAGTCATTAAGAGTTGATGTCCTAAAGGTTGATGGACTATTCACTCTTGCTAGCTTAGAGTAAATGGTAGGAAATTAGGGGAATGAAGTCAAGAATAAAGGAAACAAAAATTATATAGAAATTACTAAGTGGGGCAATTTTTATGCTTGTCTCCATTTATTCAATTAATAATTATCTTAGAGCAACAAATACCTTTTATTTGTTCTAAAAGTAAAACTACTTATAAACAAAGAAGTGAACCATATGCAGAATATTCTACACACAGAAGTAAGCATGATCGCCTTGTGTTACTGTACTGTTTTATCTCTGACTGGCTGTCCATTTTTTCTGCGCACATTGTTTTCTTTGAAGTACAGTATAGGATTGGGATATAGCTCTTTTACTAACAATCGTGAAGCATTTTACTTGCAAAGTGATGAGGGAATGCCAGAAATGACTAGGCAACAAAAAATTTGGCTTAGGAGTTTGTTAAAATACCATCTTACAACGGCGTTCACCCCTCTGGTCAGTCATTTGCTCGGTTCTTGCCGAGTTACCAGATATATTACTGTTTGAATGAATCATACCGAAAACAGTGACATCACTTCCTATGGCAATTGTACACGTACTGTACAGTAAACCCTTGGGATTGCGGACTAATTTTGGAAAGACCATTATCGCTAAAGCCAAAAATCCGTTAAAACTGATTGCCCAATAATTATTTTTAACTAAAGGGTTTGAAATAATGGATATTTCAAAATAGGAGATTTAATTATCTACTACTGTAATGAAATATTTTACATTAAACTTCCATTAATACTTAAGGTATGTTGTTAAAATTCCTGAGTACTGTACTGAAAAAAAAAAAAATTATTTAAATATATTTTTTCCATAAATACTGTAGTGTATGCACATTAGCCTCTGTTCAGATGATTAATTTCACCCATAAAAGTAGCTTTAACTGTACACTGTAATATTAAAACTTATAATTATAGGGATATAAATAGTAATAATGAAAGTATGTCTATAAATAACAATAATGAAAGCATAAAAAGGGCAAAAATAATATAAATCTGTACACACTGAGTCATAGTTCTCAAGGACCATAACGGCCTCGACACTACTCGCCTTACCAATGCAGTAGCTTCTCTAGCAATGGTGCTCGTTGACACGGGCACTCCGACCTCCACAATCTCGCCACATGGCTTCATAGTGGAAACCCGTTGATACTTTATATATTTTTTTTCTTGTATTCTGTATGTAGGATTGTGTGTGCATGTAACTTGTGTAAAAAATTACGAGATGAAAAATAACCATAACATAATATAGCTATAGCTCACAGGATAAAGGAGCAGGTAACAAGTGTGGTGATCAGTATAAAAATGTATAATTTGTGATATTGGTTATTAATTGCTCATATTTTTCAATAATTTTCAACGTATTAGAATTTCCAGTGATTATTCACGAACTATCAGACAACTCCTCAGGGGTAAAGGATTGTCCAGGAGATTTAAGGTGTCCGTTTTAACTGGGTTCTGTTTCATACAGCATTTGTTATATTGAGGGCTTACTTTATAGGGTAAATTAAAAATTTTGAAGCAGCATCCTGTTTTGGATGTGCAATATGGAGAGCTATGTTGTGATGTAATGAGGGTAATAAAATACTACTGTATAATTTTCTATGTATATATATATATATATAGTATACTGTATACAATATATACTACAGGATTATACATATATATATATATATATATATATATATATATATATATATATATATATATATATATATATATATATATATATATATATATATATATATATATATATATATATATATATATATATATATATATATATATATATATATATATATATATATATAATATATATATATATATATATATATATATATATATATATATATTCTCTGAATCACTCACTAAAATATAAAAGGAATATCACAGCCATAAGAGGTAAGTTAACTTTGGCACATTTTAAATTATGTAAATACATTGAATATTTCCACAAAATATCTTCAGGTACTATTTAAGCAGCCAAGCCTGTGGAGCTCTGCCTTACAGTAAATACAGTACAGGTACTAAAAAATATATAACTTCATCTTTGGTTGATCAAGTACAACTTAAATGATAGAAAATAAGTTTGATACACAACACAGAAATACAAGTAACAAAACTAAAAAATCTGAAACTCCAGAGTCCATAATGCACTATAATCTACATAGTTTCAGGTGTAAAGTACTGTACATGCTAAAATTTTAGTGGGATTTTGGTAGTTTTGTCTTTTTACATGTTTGCTTCTGCCTCCCAATGATGGTCTATTAAACTGCAGTATTGCTAACTATGATTGTGATTGCAAATTCTTTTTAAACTTGGAAATTACTTTAACAGTGACTTCCAAGAAAAGACCAAATGATTGTGATATTTTCAACAGTGATTGAATATTACTCTTAAAATCTTGCAAAAATCTGAAATATTACAAAACTAGACAAAGGTTTTTCAGCACACTAACTTGTTGGAAACAATTAATGATATCAAAAGGTAGTGCAACAAGATTTGAAATTCTGTGCTGATCGAGAAACAGAGGCATGGCAAAGGGTAAATTATTGTATGAAGCAGGGTCAGCGGAGCTTGATGCAGTAGTGTATGAGAGAACCCCCTTACATGTGAAAAGCCAACCACAATCTGAAATTAATGCTCCATACCACTTAAGTATGTAACTTAAAAATTCATTATAGTGCATGACCTACAGATGTTCCTGTTTTTGAGCTTTGATTGTAAATTATGCCAACTTTCATTCATAGGAATCGCATATCACAAAAGAGAAGTATAATACAATTGAATTTTCATTCTGATTATTGATGAGATGATTTGAAGATACCGAAGAAGAGTCTCCTCTCTCAACTTGCTTGGAAATTCACAATACATACATACATTATCATCAATAAAAATATTTTGATATTGGAGTCAGGTGTAATAAGCTTGAAAGGCATTTACAATGCCTAAATAGGTCTTTTGTTTCTGTGACTCATCTTAGCATGGAGCTATCTGACCTAAGTTGGAAGCACTTATTACTATGAAGTTCAGTGCAGTGTTGATAAATTACAATACAGTCAGTATACAGTGCAGTATATAATATGTGCACACAGCATGGCAGAAAGATATTCTTGTTTTCCACTAAGTTAAGATAGTTGTCCATCTAAAATGATATATATGCGATATCTCTGTTAGCCGGAACAACTGGTACAGAGCACTTCCAGGAATGAGAGATTTCTGGGTAACGAGACAACCCTCTCAAAGTTGAAAAAAAATCCCTCATCCCCGGAAATTTCCAGGTATCGGGAAAATTTTCTCAGAATTTTTCGGAAAATGTGCCCCTCAAAAAATCATTCATAGCTGGAATTTTCCGGAAAATTCTGGCTTTGGTAACGATTTTCCGAGAAAATTTCAATTCCGGCTACCTGAGCCACCATTTCTATCAGGTTTTTTGTGTTGTTGTACATAGTATGTGTATTTAATGTTTAAAGTAAGAATAATCAGGTAATATTCTGGTGTGTTTTGATAACTTCATAGTGCTCTGCACCAATTGTTTCAGCTAACAGGGATATCACTATTTGACTGGCCATTATATGTTGTCGAAAATATTACTTGAATTTAACAGACTTTTGGCATCAATAGACACCCCTTACCCCTCATTAGTCTGTTAAATCTGTATCTTCATTATATTTTTTAACATAACTGAAGTAAATGCAATTCAGTATTACCTGCACAACATATCTCATATTTTGCCTAACCATAAGCTTTGCAGATCTGCAAATTAGAGACCCATTGATACATGATCATTATCATATATTCAGTACTCAGGTTTACATCGTTTGTATCTGGTATGTGGCATGATGTGGATAAAAAATAAGCAAGTGTGGTTAGGGTAATACTATACAAATGAGTATAAACAAACATAATAATATAATGCTTATTTTCAATTCCATGAAATTAATATCTTGTCCAGCCACCGTTATTATGAAAGGATTTTGATTTTGAAGTTTGGTAGATAAGAATCTGGTAAATGTTGTATTATTATATTCACTAGGGTTTCTGTCCTGGGATCCCAGGATTCCGCCCAATAAATAGTGAACTTAAATCCCGGGACAAATCTTGAAAACCCAGGGATTTCCTGCATTTTAATAATCTCTGTCTAAGCAATCTAAAATAGCACATATACAGCAAAAATACATAAATAAATAAAAGGTGAAACACATGTGTTGCTAAATTAATAACAAATTAGGACTAGCAAGAGTCGGGATGAAAATGTTCCTGTCCTGTACACGAATATGACCTGACGGGAACGTCGTGTACTCATGTATGTTACATGAGTATCTGAGTGCGGGTCTGGCAGCCTGAGAAGTAGGGAATGTCTACTGTAATTTTGTCAAAGGTCTACATGCTATACTATTGTATATAATCGTATTACTCAGTAAAATAAGTAGAATTTTACAGGATGTATTAATTATTGTTCCTATTATCCTAAAAAATGCTGTTAAATTGTAAATCCATGTTGTATTGTTCTTTTTCATTCATATTTCCTGATCCCAGAAATAATAATAATAAAAAATAAAAAAAATCCGGGAAATCCCAGGGCAAGGACTGGTTTTGCCCCAGAATCCCGGGACAGAAAAAACTCCGGAAAACCAGAAACCATAGTATACACCACAGGCTGGGCTAAATAAGGATATAAAGACAAAGTTCAGCACCACCTTCAGCACTGATTATGTCACCCAGGTAACCATGGCAAGGCAACATAATTACCTGGACATACAGAACACTTAAATTACCAACATCTTGCAGACTGCCACTTATACCACTGTATATCTTGTGTACCCACCTTCTAGACTCACTGCATATCATCAATGTAAAATAAGAGCCCTGAGGAACTCCAGCGTTGATTATGTGACATTCAGAGAGATGACCATCCATAGCTATAAGCACTCTGTAACCCAACAGAAAATAAATTTAGAGACTAAGAAAGAAAGGCCATGGGTAATTTTTTCAAATAAGGATTGGTGACAAATTCTGTAAATTCTTTGGAAAAGTCAAGGGCAACTGCATGGACTTTATTATTGTAGTTTATTGATTGGTGGATTAAATATGTGAGGAATGACAAAAGATAAAGATGAACAGAAGAGTAGTCACTGTGTCTGACAATATGAGTACAGTACTGCTTTGATTACTTTTTCATAAATATTTGCAAATTTTTGTGGTAAGGGAAAGTGGATGATAATTTGAAAGGTTAGATTTATCACATTTCTTTGGGGTTGGATAAATGTTGGCATCTTTCTTGAAGCAATAAAGGTTGTAGTGAAGAGAGAGTATGAAGAGTCTGGACATAACTGGACAAAATTCAGCAAGGCACCTTTTGTAAACAGGTGGGGAACCTAATCAAGCCCATGAACCTTATAATTTTTTTAAACTTTCATGATTATTTTATATGTGTTTTAATTTTACAGGTCAAAATTGAAGGCATTTCCAGATCCAGGTAAGGAACCATCTGCTCAATCTCACTGGGTTGAACTAGAGGCAAAAATATGAGAAAGTACCGGTACTGTGGTCTTGGGGGATGAGATGTGAGGAGGAATGGCTACTGAAACTGGAGTTGAATGCTTTATGAGTGGACCAGAAAGCTTGCTACTTTATGGGTTATTCAGCAGTCTGGGTGAATTTTTAGGGAGAAAGTTTGATGTGGATAACTTAATACAGTAAATGCTTTGAAATGATCTTTGCATTGTTTGCAGTTACTGTGTGTGTACAGATGGATTCAGTTTGTATAGTCTATGGGCCTTTTCCTTGTTATTTACACCAAAGTAACTGGAACAATTGAACCTTTGGGGGGGTTGGAATGATTTTAAATTTTTTTATTGGGTATTAATTCCTTCACCTCAACCTTGATATCAGTGATGTGTTTAGCAGTAAACCTACAGCAAGGATTATCAGAAAAGAAAGAAGACTAACAATTTATCCCCTCTACAAGAACTCTGAAGTTTTACTGTTTTGTTGACATAAAGCTGAATTATATTTTATATACTGTACTGTAGACAGATGGATGGGTCCTGTTATATGACCCACTAACATTTGCTACTAGAGTTATAAAATTAAAAAGGATGAGCTGATAAGTTTTAATGGAGGAAAGAGGCAATTTTTTTTAACTCAATTAGATTACTACAAACTCATCATTTATGCACACACTACTAGTACTTTCTCCAATCCCCAACATATTCACTATACAATTTGTTTTAAATTCATTCATATTAAAACTTTACCTCAAGGTACTTACTTAAGTTAATTAATATTTCATATAGGCAGCAAAATTTAATGGACTCCCTTCTTGGTGATGTCCATTAGCATATGAGAGTGCGGCATGTGTGGGTGACAGTGCTGCAAAGTGTGATGGAGACGTCTGGTACTGTGGGCTGTGGTAACTCTCCTCATAGTTGAGGCTTGGCCCGAGGTTACGATGTAGCGGAGAAGCTTGAGGGAGCGGGTTGAATCCCTCAGTGACGGAGCTCATATCAGGAACAATCATGAGGGGGTCATCAGGAGCTGACTGAGCTGGGAAGGTATATGTTGGACTGGGGGGATATTCTGACAGGGTGGTTGGAGGAGGAGTACCAGGCAACTGAGGCTGTAGAGATACATTGGTGTTCTCCAGGTCTGAAAATATGTCTGCCTGTGAGAAATAAAAAGAAGACATTAATAGGGATTGATCCTAAAATCACATTTCATAAGTGCCCACACCTAGGTACCTGGACTACAATGTGTAAATGACTGTGACTCATGTTATATGGAGATGTATGGTGTTTGATGATACAGGTAGACCTTAACAGTCATGGTCTAGAGCTCAAACAGTGCAAGCTGATTTCTAGACAGACCAATAATAAACTGCAGTGTATAAGGACAAACCATAAGTACTCTGCTGTATGATAAACACGACCTAAGAAATAGAACACTATAGCTTATGGTAGAGTCAACCTTACATGGGCCTGAACTACTTGGTGTTAGTTTCCAGTGCTTTTTATGCTAATTACAAATTTCAAGTGACATTTAAACATTTATTCTCTTAAAAAAACTATAAACTCTCACAATTAACTACAAAATAATCAATGGAAGACAGAAAAAATAAAATCTATATAAAATAAGTACATTCTGTATAGAAAACCTCAGTAACAGAATAGTGGCAATGTCTGTCCTCAAGAGTGGACATGACAATCCTGACTCAATCCTGTTTCCTCACAACCTATGTTATTGTTGCATAAATTTTCTAACAAACAGCATTTCCAAAGATGAAGGTAAAGTAATACTGTACTACCCAAAATAAAATAAAATAAAATAAAAATTAAAACATTGAAGGACCTAGAGTACTGGACTAACATTAAAAAATATCTTAATTTCCAGTTATTATTTTATTTCAGTTACTAGTACAGTACAATGCAGTACAGGGGACCTTCGTGAGTTATTCTTTTCTCTCCCAAAATGATATTAATAAATGGTACAAAAGAAATAATAATTTACAAGAGTACCAAAACTTGCATTCTAACCCTGTTATAATATGGAACTTTTTCTTAATGTTCTAATTTTATCTATAGATTTATAAATACCCTGTATATATATATATCAGTACAGAGGTCCCTCGGTTAACGAGTGCCTCGGTTAACGAGATTTCGGTTAACGATTTACCTTCCATAAGATTCTTAACTTCGGTTAACGAGCAATCCCTCGTTTAACGAGTTTTTTACGAGCCGACCTCAACATGTTTTTGCTTGCATTTGGCGGTCCACCAGCTGTAGTATTAGTACGCCAATACAGTAATCGGTTTTAGGGCTTAAATTCCTTACTATTTTAGTAAATATCAAGAAGTTTATACTATTCAATAATTTTAAAAGTTTAATATTAAATATTTTAGTCATTTTAACAATTATTGAACATAATTGAAGGTAAGGAAACTAGTTTCATGCGCGCCATCCAGCCTGGCAACACACCAAACAGGCGCCAGTCTCTCTGTCTTTTCAGTGGAGGTAACATCTTGCTTGAGACTCTCTTCAACTAAATGCACTTTTTCTGTGTTTGCAAGCGAATTATTGGTCATTTTGAAATTAATTTTACATATTGACAATATATAATGCAGTGCAGTGTAGATTTAAAGAAAATAATCTTGAATTACACCAAGAGAACTAAAATTTCATGGGTGAAATGGCACCATGGGGTGACTTCTCTTCCACCCCAATGCCTTCTCTTCTCCCTTCTCCTCCACCCCCATTCTAATTCCCATCATCATCATCATCATCATCATCATCATCCAGGAGCCTTCTACATACACACTTCAAAGTAAGTGTACTTTTCTACCTTTTTTGTTGAATTCAGGCAATTTTTGGTGAGCTGGAACCATTACCCAAAAACCCATTGAAACATATATATATATATATATATATATATATATATATATATATATATATATATATATATATATATATATATATATATATATATATATATATATATATATATATATATATATATATATATATATATAAATCCTCACTCCTACATAATAGTGTATGTGAATTTTGAAGAGTCAAATTAAATGTCTGTTGTTATGCTAAATAACTTTAAGCCAAATACAGTACCTCCTGTAAAACCTGCATTTGAAGTACAGTATTGTACTGTACTGTAGTTTATAATGGTTTAAACACATGACCTAGAGATAAGCCTGTTTCCCCTAACATCCAAAAGGGAGGGATAACAAGGTTGTCCACTTGAGTGATAATATAAACTCTCACCTGTGAACACTCTATGTCTGTTTTTACGACCCTTGTGACCTCAGTAGGATTTTCAGTGATGCTCATGTCTAATCTCTTCTTTTTGCTCTGTCTGTTACGTGCTGGTACTTTGACAGATTCCTTCTGGCTGTGTTTTTTCTCAATGTGAGTCTACAAAAAATGTAATACAGATCCATTAAAGGTATACCATAAGAAACTTAATAAGGTTTTCTTGGGTACTTGATAGTCTGCCATTATGAGTATTGCCACATATGGCAATACTCATGTCGTGTCACATAAGATGCAACATGTATTCTGTGTGGGAGATAGGGTGTACCAGAGAGTAGCAGTTGGTTTTGCAACACACCATGACTCACCAGACTACATGTACTGTACTGTATACCTCATTACGGACACTTAAATCATGCATGTTCCAACACCCAAAAATGGAAGTTTAGAAAACATTATTCAGTTCTTATACAAGGGAGGGTTTGCATGTAAAGAAATGGAGAGAAAAAATACAAAATTACGTTTAGGTGTGTAGCCGGGGAGAAGTGGTGACAATATTGTATTCCTTCAACATTACGTTACATTACACAAAATTTTAAAATATGGAGTGAGAAAGCAGAAAGGTTTAGGTGATTAGAGAGAGGAGTGGAAGGGAGAGATAACACATCATGGGTTTATTGCCAAACACTCCTCAACAACTGACCTTCACTTAACCACACATAATTTTGTCATATAATAAGACCTACATTTAATATAAAATTATAAAACAAAGGTCCAGGGTCCACTTACTTGATCCTGAATACCATCATCAAGGAGATTATCCCTAATCCCCGCCCTACCTCAACTCAGGAGACAGATCATGTGATCTGATTCCTTTGTTCTCTGTCTTTCTCCCTTTGTTCTGTTAGTTGGCTGAAGAGGGTCCTAGTATACCAGCTCCAAGATATTGTCTTTTATTTCTCCAATGTGGGTTTTTACTTCATTTACCAGTGTGACCATTAGGTACACTTTGGGAATATCATCTACTTAGCAGCTCACCTCACAATGTGTTACATTTATTTATTACTTTATTATTACTGCATGTACCGGTATATAGTGTATATAAAATATTTATGCAGTATTTGCACAGTACTGTAATTATAAATGGAATATTTTATGTGACAGCTAAGGCAACTTTTTGGTACTGCTCGATTATTACGGATTCATTCCGAATTCAAATCGTTTAATTCATTTAAAAAAACAACAACATGATTCAAGCCGAAATCTGAATTATAAAGATCCAAATTAACAAGGATGCAGTGTATAAAGATATCACCTTTGTATATTATCATCATTACCTTTAATCGGTCCGGTCTTGGAGAACAATAATCACACTGTGGGCACTTATTTAGTTTCTCAGGGAGGTGCAACTTCATGTGCCTCTGAAGGTGGCTGTTGGTGATGAAAGTCCTGTTACAGACATCACAAACAAACGGCCGGCTGTTAGAATGGTGTTGCATGTGTTCTTTGAGATGAGACTTTTTGCCTGTTGTATAATTGCAATTTGGGAACTGGCATCTGTGCAGCTCACCTTGTAGAATAAAAGAATGAAACGAGAGAAAATCTGAATCAATATACTGTAAAGATAAACAGTCCTGCAAGAAAAAACTTATTTGAGTGGATGGCAACTTTAATTAGCTATTGTAATTAATTGTTAAATGTAAACTGATCTTTTATCATTCAAGATTATTATCATTACAGTAAAGTCTCGAATAACGACGTTAATGTGTCCTCCAATATTGCAGTGTAAGGTGAATCGTCTTATCGCGAATCATTAATTACCATTAAAATAAAGCAATAATAATGAGATGCGTTCCCAAGTGTGACCTTTTCATATCTTTTGTGTGGCTTTTCACCCTCTTTCCCCCCAAAAACAATACAATTAATGAAAATTGCAAACTATATTCTTTAAATAATGTTTCTGAATGCACGTTATACAATATACGGTAAATGAAAAATAATATGGTCACACAAGAGGAGATGGAACGCCATTGTTTTCGTTTGTGTGTACAGCCGGGCACCTTAAATTACACCCCTTTTTTGTTACTGTGCTGTCAAAGTCTGTTATTCTGCAAAATAAGTCTAGAATATTTAAATTACAGTAAACGGACCACTGCATTAATAAATTGACAACAATTGTTTACAGTGTACAGTACAGCACAGCACAGGGTACCTGTACTTTGTATTGTGAATGAATATTTTATTATACCCTATACCATACTAAGAGCAAAAAGAGAAATAAAAGTAAAATAGATGCTACTGCATCTGGTGGTACAGTGTTAAGAAGAAAGACAGCTATTACCTTTGATGGGAACATAAAAGTAATCCCCTAAGAGACACCAAGCAATAATGCCTCTTCTCATCTGTAACTACTCCTATAGTCCAGTACTGTACACAATTGGATATAGTAATTTAAGGCAACAAACTAAGATACTATCACAATATTCATTCTGTACAGCTGCCAGGCATCATTCAGGAGACCAAATTAATGAGTGTTGTTGGTAAGATAACATGAAGCTGATATGTTGTGTATCACAGTCTTGGTGCTATTGTGTCAAAATTAATGTTCATAAGGTTCAATTTCAGGAAATTTTTCTCACATATGGTAAATGGTGTTTTTATATGATGAAATTAGTGTTGAAGTGAGAAAAAGTGGTCCCATACCCCATATTTCCTACTGAAATACATAGAACCATATAACATAATTCAATAAAGTACAAAATTTCTTGGTTCCACTCACATTATAGTATTGAGGTTCTACTGTACTGTACATATCTTACTTACCAGTGTGAAACTTGGTGTGTAAAACCAAAGCATTTTTAGTTTTCCCTGACCAGCCACATGTCTCACATAAGAATGGACGCTCCATAGTGTGCTTTGTTTCATGATAATGCATAGCTTGTATTCGAAAGAATAGGTCACCACAGATCTTGCCTGAAAATTTTTTATGAAGAAAACTATTTAAAGTACAATAAACATTAAAGTAAAGCAAATGTTATCTAAATACAAGGACAGTATCTGAAAACATTCTCGCTATCTAAAAAAATCTAAGGACTTTCCTCCAGTCTGAAAATTTGGAGTGAGACATGAGAATATAACAAGTTTAACAGAGAGGAGAGAGAGAAAAGAGAGGGGAGAGAGAAAAGAGAGGAGAGAGAGAAAAGAGAGGAGAGAGAGACAGAGAAGAAAGAAAAGAAAAGAAAAGAAAAGAAAAGAAAAGAAAAGAAGAGAGAGAGATACTTACATTTATACTTTCTATTTTTAGAGTGTTGTGTTAAGTGTTCATTTAAGTTGAACTTCTTGTGTGAGCTGAAGGGACAGTGTGGACATTTGTGGGTCTTGGTCTCCTGGTGAATGACGCGGTGCTCTAGCAGGTGATAAATGCGCTTGAAGGATGCCTCACCTGTTGTAGAAATAGTACTTGTTACATAAGTTAAGTAAAGAAAAAATAAAGCGGAGAGGGGAAGCAAGTATGGATTTGTGGAGTGAACAATATGCATCTATAATAATGTCTAAGTATGATAGAAGAAATGTATAAACTTATGTGCGTAAGGAGCTTCTATTTATTACCATAATGATATCAAGGGGTGGTGTGTTAGATTAGGTTAAGCTTGGTTACATTAGATTTGGTTAGATTAGATGAGATGATGTTTGATCAAGTTAAGTTTGTATTTGGGTAAATTAATACCCAGGTAAATGATGCTAGGGTGCCTAATCTTCATATGACCTGTTTGGTAAGAATTATTGTAGATTTGTGGTAGTAAGGATTAGCTATTGGAAGATATTAACCAAATTTCACTTAAAATACCATAAAATAATGTGTGATGAGTTTTGCAGTAGATTATCAAGGCCAACAACAACAAAATATACTTCTCCATTAAATTTTGAGTCAAACCTTTACTCTACTCTGAATGTGATTTCAAAAGGTCGATTATCTTGAAAAAAACCCCAAGATATTTGACTAAAGTCTGGTAATAATTTTTTCTGTGGTCATTGCACAAGATGAACCATGTCACAACAATTCCATTATCATTACAGTCAAGAAGTTTATCATTGAGCACTGAACTAACTGACCCCCAAATAGTTTGTACTCACAAGTGTCACAGCAATGAGGAGGGCCTGGGAAGTGCTCCCTCATGTGCACAAAATATTCCTTTGTAAGTGGGAATGAGGCTTGACACAGCTCACAAACTCTCTCAGTTGAAGCTGGTGTTGTCTTCACAACTTCAGCTACAATGAAAGAGAAAATTATAGTTTCATGAAAATCAAAATTTATAAAAAAGAAACACTGAAGCAAGGAACCCAATTTTATTGCCGAGTGACCCTCTGACAACTTAGCAAAGGGTTATAGCTTAAACCATCGTCCTTAACCCTTTAACTACGCATTATTTCAATGGGACTCATCCCCGTGTACACATTATTCTGAGGATATTCAAAGATCTCAAGATACATCAACAATTACATATGCATGGGGATGTGATGAAAACAAAAGTTACAGTGGAAAATGGCAATGTGCTGGCAGTGCAATATAATTCAATCATGTGCAGTGAGTGTGGAATGGTGGACACCCAAGAGGTGCAGTGGAGTATATGGCAGACCACAGGTACTGTATACCCTGAAAACCGATGCCCCAATAACAGCCGATTCGCATAACCGACGATTACATATAGGGAAAATACCCCACAAGTTTGTTGACACCCGGTAGATCCGACAGGTGGTGGGCTCTCTCACAGAAATTTCAGGGAGTTTGGATTTCATTGGTTATTCACTGAGGATAGTGGACAATAACACAATGTGTATTATATATCTCTTCAGTAGATACTGCATTTATAAACTAGAAGTAGAATTGGAGGAGAAGGAGTGCAGGAAGAGAAGGATGAAAAAAAAGGGAATTGTAGGGAGCTAAATCTTTCTGATTGACGTGGATAATAAAGGTGAGAAGGATTTGGAGGTGGTCCTCTCAGGTACAAAACATACCCAAAAAAATACATTTCAGAAAGGAGAAAAGGAAGGTAGAAAGAAAAGGGGAGGAAGGATAATGAGAGTGCACATGTTAAAGTTAAGTAGGATGCAGAAAAAAGTAAAGAAAAGAAAGTGATGCATGAAAATTTTGACTGAGATTCTATCCAATGGACAGTACTAGAAAGAAGCCCAAACTATATTCTGATACAATAGTTGGAGTACAGTACAGTACCCACCTTTAACCTTCTCTATCAACTTGACTCTTCTACTGGTTCTTCTCAATGGCTCCTTGTTGACAGCTGATGGTGTTTCACTCTCCTCATTAACCTCTTTGAATTTATTGACTTGTGTAATTGTCAAGTCTTTAGTATCATGTTTCTTACCAGCAACTTGTTTTATGTCCTGTTTTTCTAAGCCATCTATTACATCTTCCTGAAGCACTTCATTGGGGTCATCTGGGTTGAGTTCCTCTGTTTTCAAGTGAAGCATATCAATACTATTAACTGCAGTAGTACTTGGCAGAGATGCTTCTGATGAAACTCCTATGTCCTGCCTGGCGTCTGACACCAACCCTGTGAGTGATGTATTTTTCTGTATTAATAATTAGAGAAAAAGATTAAGTTATCATTTATCAATCATATCTTACATTTAAGATAGTTCATATAGATTCTATACTGAGCACTGCATAATTTGTACTTGTAACTGCAAATTGTTGGGTGTGTCTAGAGATGACTTCATGTGGGTAACACTAACACTTAAAATGAGAAGTAGATAAGAGATGTAGAGTCAAGAACAAGAGTCCTGTTACCTCTTCTGCTGCTCCATGAACCCCCGAGATTTATAGTACTTGTGAATCCGAAGCATTTATGGACAGAATAATGCAACAGAGTGTAGTGTTTCGGGTTCATGAGTTTGAATCTTGGGGTTTGTGGAGCAGCAGAAGAGGCGACAGGACTTTTGTTCGTGACTGTACAGTACAACACAACACACATGGACCCCACCAATAGATTCACCTAAGCTGCGCAACTCTCAGCTTCCACAGATAATTTAATCCAAAAACATTCAGTTGCCTTTCCATCAACACTCCCATCTAAATGCCCTAATAACAACTCCCCAACCTACTGCAACACAACCACAAAGAGAGAGAGAAAAAAAGCAAGTTCAATATATTACACCTCAACATAAATAACATCTTAAACATGGTAATAGAACTTCAAAATTATACCTAATTAACCCCTTGAGCCATAGGAACTTACCTGGTACACCCTGTTACAGCAAGCATCACTCCAGAAGGATGTACCTGGTATGTCTTTTAATTTCCATGACAGTAGGAAAAGATGAGAGGGGGAAATTGCTCTGACACACTGATGGGCCCAGTCAGATTTTTTTTTTTACTTGTGTTAGGGTGAGCATAAAGCTAACTGTATTCATCTGTATTCGTATTTCTTTCTCTGAGTGGCCAGCCTGTTCTGTTTACTTGTTTTATAAGAGAATGACCACACCCCTTCACAGACCCCCACCAAGTCAGGCTGTGCAGACTGGCAGTGCTCGGCAGCCCGGACGTACCTGGACTAAGGGTTGGAAAGTGATTTTTCATGTCCTTGTGTCCCACACGTGCCAGCCAGACAAGTTAATATTTTGAGAAGCAAATACCTAAATGGATTCTTGTCTGGTGCTGCATGATCCCACCTTACCATACATGTTTAACCAGTGAGATTGGTCAACCAGTGAGGTAAATAGAGAGGTGGCTCTGTGTGTGTGTGTGTGTGTGTGTGTGTGTGTGTGTGTGTACCTGACCTGATGCCATATCATGACATCACAGCTGATCCCTCCTCCTCCTATTAGTCTATTCTCACAATAACTTGACTGAAATATCTTTAAAAAAAAAGAACTCCCACTGATTGCTGTCAGCAATTGTGTTATAAATTAAAGTGAAAACATCAACATGTATATGAAGCAAGAAAAACTGACCAGGTGAAGGTAAAAGATATGTGATGAACACAAGTGATCTGTGAGTGAGTATGTTGGTGTAAGAGTGAGTGAATGAGTGTGTTGGTGTAAGAGTGAGTGAATGAGTGTGTTGGTGTAAGAGTGAGTGAATGAGTGTGTTGGTGTAAGAGTGAGTGAATGAGTGTGTTGGTGTAAGAGTGAGTGAATGAGTGTGTTGGTGTAAGAGTGAGTGAATGAGTGTGTTGGTGTAAGAGTGAGTGAATGAGTGTGTTGGTGTAAGAGTGAGTGAATGAGTGTGTTGGTGTAAGAGTGAGTGAATGAGTGTGTTGGTGTAAGAGTGAGTGAATGAGTGTGTTGGTGTAAGAGTGAGTGAATGAGTGTGTTGGTGTAAGAGTGAGTGAATGAGTGTGTTGGTGTAAGAGTGAGTGAATGAGTGTGTTGGTGTAAGAGTGAGTGAATGTGTGTGTTGGTGTAAGAGTGAGTGAATGAGTGTGTTGGTGTTAAAGTGAGTGATTGTGAGGTTAGATAATAAAGATATACAATGTAATATTTAGTGGAAGGTAAGATTTTGTGGGAAAGAGGTGTGAATATACATGTACAATATATTTGACAAAGTACTGTACACTGAGGGAGAAGTAGACAGTGTAGTGACCTACTGTACACTGAAGCACTACACTGGGGGTATGACCACACTGTGTTGGTGATGGGTATATATACAGTTAAAAATCTATGGACTGTAATGGTTGAATAGTATTTTTAGTGGTCAAATTAAACTATGGGTGATATAAATAAAGGGAAGTATAAATTAATACAATAAATAATAAAACTATATACAGTAAACCCTTGTTATTCACGAGGGATAGGTTCCAAGGAATGGCGCGAATAGGCAAACCAGCGAATGCCAAGGGTCTACTGTTTTGATTTTTTTCAATAATTTCATAACGACTGTTTTTATACTTGAATGTAACTCACCTGAGCCGGATGAATTAACACTACGGTTGATCTTAAACTTGACCTGACGTGGTGGTACAAATAGGCGTAGTCCGGCTGGGACGGCTTTGGAAATGTCGTCTTGAAGATTTCTTTGGTTGTCTGTTGATGTTTCACTCTCTGTTAAAATATTTCTTACATCTGAGCTGCATCCCTTATATACCCGATCTCCATCCAAACACTCTGATGGACACCCCTTGTATGTGCGATCTCCATCTACGGTGCCTCCAACAAGGGTAAATATGCCTCTCGTTTCTATGCCACATTCTGATGACAATCTCTTCCCATCCAATAAGAGATCCTGTGTGGACATCTCTCTAGGCCCCAGAGCCAACAATGATTCCTCCCCAAGCCTGTTCATTTCTCTGTGGAACTTGTCAGCAGCACTGTTTTTTAGTGGATAGTGCTCATAATGTGACTCATCAGCAAGGAATCTCTCTGGTACAGCATTTGTTAGTGAGGTATCTGTTGACTCTACAACTTTTTCTGGAAACTCTTGATTCTGAGATACTTCCTGCTTCACTTCTGAACACTGAGGGAACTGATGCTGAACAGTCATGTCTTGTGGACAGTTAGATATCTGAGTATCTGTTGAATTTTCGTTGTAATATATATCGCGCTGATTACAGTTAATATCCTGCGTGGTTGTCGACTCATCGTGGTAATAAGATTTTGCATAATTTTCTTGATTATGATGAGGTTCAATCATTATGTGTTGCGTGTCTTTTACATCACCCGATCTGCAAGGGTAAAAATTAATGGCTGGATTAAAATTCTCATCATAGGGAAATGACTGAGTACTCTGGTCATCTGAGACAGTCATGTCATCTTCAGGATTATACGTACTGACATAATAAGACACTGCACTGGCAAAGCCTTGTTTGTTCTTAAGAGGATTTTCTCTCATAGGGTAAACACCAGAAGGATTAACTCTTGAAGTGTAAGAATCAGAGCAGGGAACTTTCATACTGAAATTTTGATCATAAACTTGTCTTTGGTACATGTGACTTGAGTCTGAAGAGAGAGATTCCTCAGCACCATAAGGAGGCTCCTGATGCCACACGGCCATATTTCTTACAAAAGACTGACCAAAATGCCCTTGGTTATTACAGGCAAATTTGTTGTCATCTGTTGTAGTTGTATCCCCGACAGAATCTTCAGAAACATGTGAGTGACAACCAGCAGCATTGGATGCAGAAGGCGGATGAGAAAAAATTAAATTTGGCTGGTTAATATGGACGTCCTGGGTACTATGACCAATATGACACATGTCATACTGGTTGTGTTGTTCCTCTTCTTGGCCATCACATCCTCTTCTTGAGTTGTGAAAGTCACTAATTTTGTGGTGTGACTGCAAGGAAGACTGGTTAGCCGGATCATCCTCGGTGTCTGACGTAAGGTCTTGTGGAGGTGGAACAGTGTGGTTAGAAAAATCACTGACACTTGGGAGAGTTTCCTGGCTTCTCCCACTGCCAATCTGGTCATCCTGAAGCTTATCAATTGCAGTAGATATTGCAAGACTCAGGAAACTTTCATTATCAACAACAGAGTCTGTTGACTGAAAATAAAAGAAGACAGAATTTAAGTGTAAAGTTTCAACACTCCTGTTTGGAATATCTTATGGTATAAATTAAAACAATAATTCTATCTACGTATTTATCTATATCTACGTATCTATCTTTCTCCTTTTTCCACTTGTTTTGTAAATCAAGGAGTATAGAAAATTGCTAAAATGAAAGAGCTATGTTTAATCACAAACACTGTCAACACTGAGCCCTTACTGGTTACATTACAGAAAATTTCTAATGCTTCCATTAGTTCAATATGGTAGAGGGTTGTTTATCAAATTTCATACTTCTCACGAACTCTTTATTAATATTAAGTACAACATGATCACTGTATAAGCAAAAAAAATATTAAAATAAATGAGACAAATTTCTTTTTTCACGAGAAAGAAATTAGGAAAGATGGACATAATAGTAATAAACTACCAAGTTCATATGCCCAACAGCGTGGTTTAAAGAAATATGACTGTCTGGAGGGCTAGTAAGTCAAGCTCTCTGAGTACTGTACTTAAGAAGCAAATGGACATATAGTGATGCTGCTGATGGTCTGCAAAACACTCAAAACTTTTACTGTAACTTGGAAGGAGAGAACATAAATAATCTACAGATAAGAGATGTCCATGTACCATGGAATATGTGAACAGCTGCAGGATACATGGAGCAGGAAAGACATATGAAAGGAAGGAGCCAACAGTCTAGGGTTGTCAAGATAAATGTTAAGATACAGAAGGATATATGTCAACAGTGTCATGGTAAGAGGCAGTCAAGTATTAAGTAAATGTGTGGCATAATGATATAATTATGATCAAAACAAAACCCATTAAAACAACAATAATTTAGGGAATGGTGGAAACTAGCTGATGACTGGAATGGGGGAAGGGATGGAGGGTGGACAAAAGAGCTGAATTACTAGTGACTGTACAGTTGGCTTTAGAGAGAACTTTGTCAAGGAGGACTAAGTATGACTGGAACAACTCTAGAGATGCAAACACAGTCTTCCACATTTGACGGAGTAGAGGGCTACTAAATAACAGAAAGAAAGTCAGTAAAATATATGAACAGAAAGTATACTTACAGAGAAACAAGTTGCAACAGACAAATTTGAACAACAGTTAGCTATACTTACTTGACAAAACTTCGCCTTCAGCTTTGAGAAAGGTGCAAGTAAGTCGGCAGGTAGCAAAGAATGTTCGTTGAGAGAATCCAGGAGAAAAAATAACGCCAGAAGTGAATTTGGATTAGTGTAGAGTGGGTGCGTCTGGATGAGGTAGATGGCTGTCTGTGGGTTGAGACAGGACCATTGTACCCACGTCAGGAGGCTACGCAGGTTACGCTCGCGATTTTGTGGACAACGGTGGACCCATCGAGTCACCAACAACAGAGTCTGGTCTTCATGCAACTGCCAGCTCTGTTGAGTAATAAGGAAATACATCTTAATATATTACCCCACAAGCCAGTAAATGACAACATGTTTTCTGTACTATAATAAAATTCAAGACTGCTGAAGCATTACCTACAATTACAATATATTCAACTTTAATATGTCAGTGAGTTTTTAAGGCTCAAAATAAAGACTTGGTATATCTGTAGAATCTCCTATGAAGTGAGTTAGTTAAAGTTATTTGGGTCAGCTTAAGTTTGGTGATTTAGTTTGAGTTGGGTTGGGTCAAGTTAGCTTACAATTGGTTAAGTTACTTTGGATAAGATGGGTAGGGTTTGGCTATTTAGGCCAGGTTGAGTTGAGCTATGTTAGGTTTGTTTAGCTTAGGCTTACTGGACTGAGCTAAGTAAAGTTATCTGAGATGGGATGGCTTAGATCAAGTAAAACAATTAGAGTTGGGTTGGATTAAATTACATTAGGTCAAACTATCTGGGCTGGTTAGGTTAGAACTACTACAAATGGTATGACAGGGCTCTTAAAATCACCTCAAAGACTTACTTAATGTAGTGACTGACTATGAAACACATTTAAAGTAAGATTGCTTCCCTTACAAATGTACCCCTACAGAATAAATCCCAAGCTGTTACCTGCGCAAATACATTCTCCTTATCACGGTTCACAACACTTCATCATGAATTGTTTTGAGAAGACATTAAGTATTAAGCTGTATTTCCAGAGGTGGAAATACATGATTCTTCTGAATATCTTCCCATTCATTTACAGTATTTCTCACATTCAGAGCAAGACATATTTTGCAATCTCATTAATATCTGAGTCAATAAGCAAAAGTTATTATATTTTAGAAACAACCAGGTGAGAAGGACTACTGTAGGTTAATCTGGGGCCCTGATGTGATAAATGCCCACACCAGTCCATGCTGTTGTTAGTACAATCACGCTAACCTCACGTTATTTTTGGATTATTGATTTTTTTTAATTTTTTTATTTGGCCGTGGCAACTGATAACATATACATACAAGTAAAATGTATTTATCAATTTGTATCTAAACTACCAGTAATTTCCTCATACTCACAGGACTGCTCAAGAAATCCTCCAACCTGGTGTGTGATAGATCAAGTACTTCCTCGCCCTCAATAATATCAGATAAATGGGCTTGGATGAAAGTTCCAGTAGTTTTTTCTAAAGCTTCCAAGTTGAACCTAAAATAAAAAAATCTGTTAGAACTGAGGAGAGGAATTTATGGTAGACAATATTACTGTACAGTGAACCCACACTAATTCAATATTCATTATTATATATTTTTGGATACGGTAACTCAAAACAGTATCTTCCGTTTATTTTGTCGAGGTAAAATCCATGAGATTTTGTAATGTTGGATTATTTTAATTATTCCCCAAATCTTGACATAAATCACATGACCTCCATTACTGTATATAATGGGAGATACATTCCTATGGATGGGGAGGGGAATCTTCCACTATTTTTGTCTACCTTCCAGTTCTTTAACCCTTAGCAGGTAGATAAAAACTCCCTACTCCACCCTATATGCACAAAAAATGGAACCCAAGGAACAAGAAATGATCACTGATGATGGTCCTTGCCCCTACACCTAACTTCCACTGATGATAGCCACCATTCAAAGGTTACAAAATAATACTAAACATTCACTGGTGCACACAAAATTAGGTGCAAAAAGAGCGGAGAAAATTTGTAAACAAAACATGGAAAGTAAAAAATAGTGTTGAATAATATGAAACACAAGGTAAAGAAAAACAGTCAGTGGCCATGAAACTTTAATTGTGTTGAAAAGTTATTCCAACATCTATGATATTCATGAAAAATGTGGTAGTGGTGTTGGTAGCAGGAGCACAAGAGGAAAAAAGTGAGAGGTGAATTTTAGACACGAATTTATGGCTGGAGGTTTTGATTCATGTGAAATGGAAGATGTGTCCTTGTGACCAATTGACTTAATGACATATAAAAGCAACCAGGATCATAACTTGGTTCATGAAGTGTCTTTAACCACTTGCATATGGGGTCACCTCTCTGCTGAATAAAATCATTTGACATTAACCAAATAAAATAATAAAAGTGGTATCCTCATAGTGAAGGAGTTAAACAGGGTGAAGAAGTAGTTTATGCAGTATTTATATTGATTCTGTCTCCAATTGCATGTAAACTGCAAGACATGGCTCTATAAGAAAGAAAAGAAAGAGGAGAAAAATTAGAGAAAGAAAGAGAGAATATAAGCATGATCCAGAATACTGAACTGTATTCTTAAATAAGAACTTTACATTTTTCAGACAATTGAATTTTGTTTCTTTAATTCTGACTTTAGAAAGACCTTACAGGATTATAACTAAGGTTTATGAGCCTCGGATCTTACTTGGTAGCCATGTCCCGCACAGTGAGACAATTTGTTGCATCCAAGTATCTTTCAAGGTATTCTGCACAATGTTCCTTCAACTTGGCAATGAGGAGCTTGTTGGCTAGACGCAACAGTTCTGCCACATTGGTTTTATCTACAACCACTGTTCCGGTGTACATGTATGCCAAGAGGCAACGGAAAACCTCTGGGTCCTGGGAGCTGATGGTGAGCTGCTCCTTGACAGTTTTACTTGCTGGGGACAAGAAAAATATCTTGTTAATGAAAGCTTACAGTAATTAATATTATTACTCCCCAACTTTTTTCTTGTACCCGGTATACAGTCAACCTTCCACATAACAGACTTATCTCTCCATATAACAGATGGAGGTTTCACATCTAACAGGCCCTTGATATAATGGACTTTCCTCTCTATACAGTACGTTAAATTGAGGTTTTACTGTATAATTAAAATAAAATAATGAGTTCTCATCTTATTTCAGTGTTTTATAAAAAATGGGTTAAAATATGAGAATAATAATGGTTAATAGGTGACTAAGCCATGAGACTAATGTAGAAAAATAAGAGAAAAGATGTACAGTATTACTTTTGTATAAATGTTATATGATTTCCTTCACATGAGAACAGTATAGTGCTTATTTAAGAGAACTGTTCTATACCTTTAAAAATGGAGTCAAAATATGGAGAACAGGCTGCCAGGACACAGCGGTGAGCCTGGAACTGCCTTCTTGCCACGTGGAGAATGACGTCACAGCACCGTATAAGTTCACGTTGGTTTCGCAACTTTTCCAGGACAGCCGTGCCATGCTGGTTCTCTGTGAAGGTCATGGCATTGTTGGGAAGAAGAGTCAGTGCCATTGTGGAAGCTCACACTGATCTGAAATGATTTTTTTAATAAATTATAGTAAAATGTTCTCCTGGGGGTGAAAAAATAAGAGTACTGTAAAAAGAAATTAAAATAGAAGAGAAAAAGGCAATATTAATCTACACCACGAACATGCCGGAAAACCAGCTTTTTGAAGTGAGAAAGATTGTACGAGTACGGAAACACAAAAGAAGGCAGAGCATTCCACAGTTTGGCTGTATGAGGAAAGAAGGATGTACTATAACGGGTTATTCTAGTGTGACCGACATCCACACAGAAACGGTGGGCACTGCAGGCAAGACGAGTGTTACGAGCCCACTGTCTTGCCGGCAGTACACAGGATGCCAAATCCACCCAACAATGCCCGTTAAAATACCTGTAAAAGAGAGAAAAAACATTGCAGTGAAGAGAACAGGAAGAGAGATTATCAACTAAAGGAGGTGAGTTAATAAGATGAAATGCATTTGATTCCACTCTATTTAACAGTTAGACAGAAGAGCCACCCCAGATATAAGAGCAGTACTCCAAGTTAGGACATATGAATTACATACCACTTCTTCACGTAAAAAGCACAGAGACATCATTTTAGTGTCATATAATAAATTTTTCACTGTTTTACTCCACAATTTCCCTCATCCTTCATGACCTGCCCATTACAGGTGATTTATGATCATAGATACAGAAAATCTAAAAACAAAACAAATAAAACTTAAAATTAAACTAAAACATTATTGTTTATTTTAAAATACTTACTACAGGTTGTACCACTCTAGTCCGGCAACCTCGGGACCTGACCGGTGCCGGACCATGGAAATTTCCGGACCATGGAAATTCACCCTCGAAACACCCTACGTACATAAAGCATAAAAACATAAGATAGGACATAAATAAATAAGAAAAAGTAATACTGTTAAAATACTATTTCATTTACCTTTAATGCTACCATAATTCTGTTTCCAATGTGAAGTGATGGGACTATAACTCAAATTACATTTGAGTTACATCAGGGATGTTGGCTATTGGGCAAACTAAAATCGTTCCGGACCACGGGAGTTTCCGGACCACAGAATGCCGGACCAGAGAGGTACAATGATAAGAACAACTGTGGAATAAATGAACGAAATTGAACGACTCCTTTTGGTGGTAATGATGTTCTCAGATTTGTTTGGTGATCTTTTTAGTATTTTATCCCACATTTCCGTTTTACTTCAAAGCCATGCTACACGACTTTGAGCAACTAATATTGTTGGTAAAAAAATTAAATTACAAATTTATGACAGAAATGTTCTAGAATAATCTTTTATAGCTTTTCTGGCTAATATCAATGGTTAATATTCGTTTAATGGCTGTGGCAAGATTTTTGTATATGGTTAATCTAGGATTAGGTTAGATTAGGTTAGGTTAGGTTAGATTAGGTTAGGTTAGGTCTGGTTAGGGTAGGTTAGGTTTCAACACTGCTGAAAGAGATTTGGTATTTGAAATTGATATGAGAAGAGGCTGTTATTCTCATCACAAAAAGGAGCCACAACCATTAAACAAACATTTATCATGTCAAGGACGGTACAGCTGATGTGTTATTTGCTTTGATGTTTATATTCTTACTAAATTTTCATCAGTGAGGTCTGATATAATAATAATTTTTATGGAAATTATTCAGCAGTACACATGGAACACTTCTCTCATGTACACAAAAAACATTAAATTACACCATATCATAGTAAGTTCTTTATGTTTAATATGCCAGGGGTCCAGAGGGTTGAGTCTCATGAATAGGAAGTTAGGTAAGTTTCTTTGGTTAGGTTGGTGAGGTCTTCTGACAATGCTTCTGCTGCTTGTTTTTCTTATAAACTAAGATTAGGTGAGGTTTAGTTAAGAAATAACCATTTTTAAAATATTTTCCAGATCTTTGACAATGTCGACAATAAAACAAGGTGAAATCTTGGAACTTTTGAATGATTTTTTTATATGAAAAATCAGCAGCTGTGACATCCTAGATAATTATTTTTCCTTCTAATTCTCCCTATATAAAACTCAATATACAGGTAAGTGTTGGCAACTACTAAATATTTACCCTTGCTACAGTCAAATGTTCTTATTCCTGTATATACTTAGAACAAGTCAAAGTAACTTAAAGAATTATGTTTTTACCAGTCTAACCACCTAATTAAACCCAATAGAAGTTATAATTTAGGAAAGTCTATGTTTTAGTTCACACTATTATCCCATTGATCTCACACACTACTGACTACAAATATCTTCTACTATAAATATCTTTAATATATTCCACTCACGCACAAAAAACACCATCTTAAACTTGCTAACCTTTCTGGTGTGTATGAGGGCAGGCAATAATTATCCTACAGCTAATTTGGTAAAAGAAGTAATATACTATACATATCGCCGCTAGTCACTCAGTCTTGGCTACAAAATAAAGACCAAGACTGAACCTTTTAGCCAAGTGACTGATCGGTTACATCTCTGTTATGTATAGTTGGCAAGCACTGGCTACTGAATGTATCTGAACCTGCTCCAGTCTAACCCTCGGTGCCGTCACAAGGCTCTGGCAAGTTGTTCCAAGAGTTCACAATTCTCACTACGAAAAACTTTGCCCTCGCAGTTTTCTGGACTACAGTGTAAATATCCTGGTAGGCCTATAGTAGCACCGCACGGTCTCATAATCTCCCAGCCTCATTACCTCCCAGCCACACCACCTCCCTCCTTTTACTACCTCTTGGTCTCACTACCTCCCGGCCACACTACCTCCCAGCCTCACTACCTCCCTCCCTTCACCACCTCCCAGCCACACCACCTCCCTCCCTTCACTACCTCCCAGCCTCACTACCTCCCTCCCTTCACCACCTCTCAGTCTCACTACCTCCCAGCCACACCACCTCCCTCCCTTCACTACCTCCCAGCCTCACTACCTCCCAGCCACACCACCTCCCTCCCTTCACTACCTCCCAGCCTCACTACCTCTCAGTCTCACTACCTCCCAGCCTCACTACCTCCCAGCTTCACATGCCTGACGTTGTACACTCCTCCAGACAAATGTTTGCCGATGACGCCAAGCTATTTCGGGAAATCAAGAACCATTGCGGACTGTGAAGAGCTGCAGAAGGACCTCTGTGGGCTCCAAGAATGGTCGAAGAAATGGCTGCTGAGATTCAATGTCACGAAGTGTAAGAGGATGCACCTGGGGCGTACCAACGGTAAGGAGGCGTATCATACTGGATGTTCCAACGGGATGAAAAACTGCACTATTTGAGACTGAATGTGAGAAGGACCTAGGTGTGTATGTTGACAATGAGCTGAAGTTCACGGGCCATTGCGAGAAGAAGGTAAATCAGGCAAATTAATTATTGGGTCTTATAAGAAGGTCGTTCAGATATCTAGACGGTCTGTCCTTCGTAACGATCTTCAAGAGTGAGGTGCTTCCCCATCTGGGGTACTGTCACCCTGTCTGGTCCCCGAGATATGCTAGGGACTGTCAGTTGGTTGAAAATGTTCAAAGGAGGGCCACCAGACTGGTGTCTGCACTTCGGCACCTCAGCTACCCTGAGAGATTGGAGCGCCTGAACTTGCCTAGCTTATACTACAGACGGGCAAGGGGTGACCTAATTGAGGTGTATAAGCATCTCAAGGGGCACTACTCAGTCGAGTGTCCTTAATTGGAGCTGGCGGACGCTCGCCCCACAAGGGGTCACAGCTCAAGATTGAAGAAGCCGAAGTCCAGAAAACTGTGAGGGCAAACTTTTTCGGAGTGAGAGTTGTAAACTCTTGGAACAATCTACCAGAAAATGTTGTGACGGTACCGAGTGTGAGCTCTTTCAAGAAGACTTGACCAACACAGGAGCAGGTTCAGGTAAATTCAGGAGCCAGTACATGCCCAGTACTTGCCAACAGTGCGTAACAGAGACCGATAGCCCAAGCGGCTAACGAGCCGATTCGTAGTGAAGAGGATAAAAGTAAAAAGTAAAAGTAAATATTGTACTATATTATATTTAATGTATCATTTTTACCTTTCTATGAAAAAACAGTAACTTTATTATACTGAACTATATATATATATATATATATATATATATATATATATATATATATATATATATATATATATATATATATATATATATATTATTTTGTTATAGCATATCATGGATGATATTTATACAGTACTATCTACTTTTATTTTGCTAGAAAATTCCAGGATTCCTGGATAAAATTTTAACTTGCACAATACAGAAAGTCTTATATAAGCATTAGGTATGTACTGTACAGTACAACCAAACACCATATGTGAGGATGTGTAAGTTAAAAAGCTGTGATGACGTCATTCCTGAGGGTACAGTGTTGTCTGCCACAATTAATACAATAACAAAATTACAATGACCATAATCATTTTTTTAAAACGTACTTTTACAGTAACTCCAACTTTAATATAACAACAACGTCTTTTGTAATTAACCTGATTGATGAACAAGTCATTTGGTAACTGGCTGGACACTGATAACATCAAGGTTGTTGTGTACAGTAGTGTGTAGATGCTCATAGTTGGGTCAACCTTTAATCATGAACACCAAAAAGCTGCTACTAGAACGTCTTTATACTGTACTGTATATAATCATGAGCTAAGGTATTACAGAGTTTGATAATGCTTTAACACACACACAGACTTAAATGTTTAAAAAATGGACACTGGAACAAACAACTGAGACAGCAGCCATAAAACTGTAACTTCTAAAAGTTTGGGCAACTGTTTCGGAGACTTCAGGGAGGGGTATATAGTATGCCCGGCTGTAGGTTCATAGTACATCACGAAGTTCCAGAAGCTGTCTTAATATTAGTTCACGAGTCTTCAGATGCATTAGAAATCCGTTCTTCCATAAGACGTCTGAAAAGAAAGAATGTAAATTTAATGTAAGGATTTAAATTCCCAGGTAAGGCATGGATCACCCATTAGGTCCCTCCATCTCCTTACGTTGTGCACCATGATGCCCTCAGGACACATCCCTAACTTAACATGTCAGTAGGCACCAGATTCCTTCTATTGTATAATAGGTCAGGTTTGCACAAAAGAAACCTTACATTATCGAAAACTTCAGTATCAAAAAACCCTGAGCAAAAGTGTCCATATGTAATTCACTTTGACTACTGTATACTACATTTGGGACAACTGCAAGGACTTCTCGATGTGTACAAGGACATGACCATGTTGTCAACCATACCATCAGTAATAGACAGAGAAATGACCTTGAAGGTAGATGGGTTAGTGTGAGGGGAGGTGGTGGTGCTGGAGTTCATTGTTTATGACATATCCTTTGACTTTAGAAATAATTGAGGTGTGAGCTTGGGTCAGTAGTTGGAATAAAAAGATGGATCAGCTTTTTGGGGAACAAGCTGGAAACTGGCTATTTTTCAAGAGAAAGGAACATCATGAAAATGTAGGAAAGGGTAAAAATCTTAAAACAGCTGGAACATCTTAGGTGCGGTTATTTTAAGGATGAGAGATGAGAGACCACCATGTACTGGGACTTTGTTTAAAGTCCAGTTCCAAACTGAAAGTACAGCTCAAGGCTGAAGAAGCCCCACGTCCAGAAAACTGTGAGGGCAAACCTTTTCGTAGTGAGAATCATGAACTCTTGGATCACTGAGAGTGTCGTGACGGCACTGAGTATTGTTCGTGAGGAGTGAGGCCTTCATGTCTCGTGACAGTACTGGAGGAAAGTGTAATACTCCGGGGAAAACCTGTCATGTTTGGTACTATTACACAGGATAACACCCACCTTACATCCCAGCCCGGGGAGAGGGAGATGAAGGGAAGGAGGAAGAGAGAAGGAGATAAAGAGAAGGATATAAAAAGGAGATAAATGTAAGGAGATAAAAATAAGGAGGATACGGGAAGGAGATGTAGGGAAGTAGGAAAAAGGAAGGAAAGTAGAATGTCAGTATTAACACTAACATTTCCATCATGTAGCTACTGGAAACGGAACTGAATGGTCCCCCAAGGTGAAGCCACAGATGAGCTGCATAAGAGTTGCATCCAGTGAGACCAGAATGAAGGGGCGAAGAGAGTTAAGTGAACAGGGTGCGTGGAATGGTGGAGGATGCCAGAGAATGTAAAAGTTGCGTTGGGTCAAGTAAGAATCCAGTTTATAGTTTAGCTCCTGAACACAGAGTCAATAAGAAACATAATAGTGATCCTCTTACCCCTGATGTAACTGGATATGTAGGAAAGTTAATAAAGTAGAACATGATAATAGAATTGTCCTCAACTTACAGATGGAGAGGGTTTTGGTGGCGGTGTTGGCCTTACGCGGACTACTGGTAGACGCCCTTGCGGTCGAAAGCGTGAGTCACCATTACCTGGTTGTGGCTGTGAAGATATACAGTACAATACCATTAGCTACTTAAATGTGTTCTTTGCAAAATTTATATGATATACTATATAGCCATATCTTATGAGCAGTTTGAATTATTTTCTCATAACTTACATGGATTCTGTATTACTCTTAATGCATTGTGAACATCTATAAAAAATTAATGTAAGTGAAGGTGTCAGGAAGCACCGAGCTGGTTGACTGAAGCTTCAGCAAAAGGCAACATTAAAAACATTAAAGCTATATTTTCCATCACATAATAAACCATTCTTGTGAACTGTGCTTTGTTCATTCTAATTTTTTACATTTTTGATTCACAGATACACTTTTGTGTTAAGACTGGCCAAAAGTTTTATGTTACTATATACATTACAGTATTTACATCCAATGTGTGCAGCAGTGAGGATCTTATTTTCATTTGAAACCTTTATAAATAATGAACTCTACAGCGGGTAAACAATACCTACAGTAACAGACAATGCCAGTAGTGTACTACGCCTGGATGAAAGAAGGGACAGAATAAGAGTAACCATTTTACAAGGTCCCAGGTGAAGTATTTTTAACTCTTGAAAGATAAGGGCTTTAGAAACTCTGAAATTAAATTACACTTCTGCTCATCCATAAGGTCTCTTTCCTAATTCTTTTCTCCATTATACAGTTTCAGTGTCTGTTTGAAAAGTCTGTACCAGTTGAACAACAGAACAGGTGTGTGAACCTACCGCCACTGAATCGCGTTGCTTTTGGAATTTGTGGTCTGGCGAATGATACTCCTCGTCCCCTGCTTGTTGATGGGAGGATGGCTGATATGAGGTGCGTGGCTCCTCCCTGGCCCGCATTGATGGGGATGCACGTGAGGAAATGCGTGGAGCGTCTCTGGGCATGATAAATATGGGAGAGTCCCTGGGTGATGGGTATGCTTCGTTATCCCTTCCACTGGTGCTCTCTTTCTCGTATGCCAGTTGTATCTCCCGCTGCACTTCTTTGTGTGCCCGCTTCTTCTTTCTGTCGGGATAAAGCGACTGTTATTAGTATCTACACTTACCAACACACTACTATATCTACACCATTGTCAAATTTCTGAACGACTCTCTGAATGCTCCTCCAAGTAGTTGTAGAATCCAGGTTAAAGTTGTTTTAGTTATTCATATTAATTGAACCTATTGAGTTGGTCTTATCTAGTCTCCTCCATCTTCTGAAGTCAATCTGCAGTACAGTACTAGCAATTCCAGGAGTGACATTATGCAGAAGGAACACGGTCTATATGTATATAAACTACACGTGAGTTGATTGATCTCAGGATGGTGCAGGATGAATAGATGTCATAATGGAGAAGAGGCCCACTGAACACCCATCACTTACACGACAAAGATGGTTATAAAGGCGATGAAGGCCAGGCCGAAGACGGAGCCGAGGACTGACACAACGATGACCCAGTTAGGAGTTGTTGTTGGTGGCGCTCCTGGGACTGTAGGAAGAGGTAATAGGGCTGAAGTTTGGGAGGGAGAAGCTAGAGGATTCAATCATCTTCTAATACATACGGAGTCAGGTATAACAACATATGTACTTCATATTGTGAGTCATACTGCTATTTTTCTTTTAATTTCTTACAAATCCTTCATTATGAGGTAGGGTGGCTGAAATCTAGTGCAAGCAAAGACTCTCTCTCTCTCTCTCTCTCTCTAACATTTGCTCTAACTGCCATATAAAGCTATATCTGGGTTATCTGTCACTTTACACATATCAACATCACACATCAGCAACATAACCTTCCCAATAAACCATCACATGCTAATGGTCATATGCAAACTGAGCTGCTTCTTATATATCTTTCCCCCTTCATGTATAGCTGACAAATTAATACACACTAATACTTGAAGTCCTGATCAGTACTCACAGTAGGATATGAGGAGTGCTGACTCTTTCACAGCACCGTTCTCATCAAAAGACACCACTAGCACGTTCACAGGTTTACTGTAGCCTGAGTTCTAGCAGTAAAGGACAGAAACATGTAATTTATGGCCTGTACGATACTCTAAAGTTAAATAATGGTCCCCAAGCAATACAGACAACTTTTTGTATAATGATCTAAGATGAATTTTGTAGCATATTAATGTTTACGGGGAAAAGTATGGTTGTTAGTTAGTATCAGATATATTTTCACTCAGAAATATCAGATGAAGTCACACACTAAAACATTTAGCTAAAACTGTAAAGGAAAGTATGTTCCTGTACATACTCAACCAGGAAGCTTAAAGGGTGAAAGAGATGTTTAACTTAACTGTCTTGACACTACTGTACTGACCTTCTCACACCTCTTTTAATAATTGGGAAAAGTTAATATAATTTACCCTCTACTTCTAGACTGTCTTTGTTACAGTACCTGCAGCAACATGAACTTCAGTATTTAACATGCATATTAGGGGGGAAGAAAAAGCTTACCTTAATCGTTCGAGTACAAACGTGACTATCCTTGTTAATAATACAGGGTACATTGTTTTCAGTTGTGTACACAGTGGAGGGGTCATTGGGGTCATAGGCGATGACCTCTAGTGAACTGCTATTACTGTCATCGGTGATCAGGATCACATTGACTTTACCACTTTCCACTGTCACGGACACATGTGATGAGAACTCTGTAACAAGAGAGTTATTATTATATTAACCATTATGTGTCCCCCCCTTGAAGAAATGGTTGTATATGGCTTGTGACTGCTCCAGGCTGTTCTTACGGATATCTGGCAATACTCTGTGGAAGTCATGTGTACCCGTGACAAGCGAGGGTACCACAGGGCAGTGTATTGAGCCTGTGTTGTTTGTTTGCTTCATAAATGACATGCCAGAAGCTATACACTCCTCCATACAAATGTTTGTAGACGATGCCAAGTTATTTATGGAAATTAAGAACCAAATAGACTGTGAAGAGCTGCTCCTCCAACACCGATCACGTCACACAGGTAACTGACACAGTTTATTGTGAGATGTGAATGACTTAGCATAGAGTGCACATTTTACCATAGTTAATTTATAAAACACTCTGTTTATCATACTGTCACTATGGAAATTACTGTACCTGTAGTTTTCATGTCAACATACTAAAATGATAATTTTGAATAAACTTTCTGAATCTGGATCTGATTTCTACCTTTGAATGGGGTGACATTCTCATCACACTCATCCACTTTGGTGGGAACCTCTGAGGCTGTGTTGTCCAACGTCTTGCACCGCTCCAGGTTCAAATTCGACTGTCCTCCCTCCTGCAGGAAGTAGCAGGTGGTGTTACCCTTCAAGCAGATCTTATTTTTATCGGGGAGATGATACTCGGCGTCAAAGGGAGATATCCGCAGGGAGGCGCTAGTGTTATGCTTCTCAGCTCCCACCCAATCCAGATTGTCGTTCAACTCTGTAATGTACAAGTCAAGTAATAAGGTTATATAGAAGAGAATGGCTTCTTAATATTATGAAGATTATGTTACATAGTCACAACTAACAATAAGACGGCAAGGTCAATGGTCATTATCATAAATGAGAGGACTTCAGAATTGTTCACAACTATGGAAATACAGCAAAGTCATTCTCATTTATACAGTAAAGTCACTCTCTATTATGGGATGTAGTCAGTTAGTAATCAATAATGGTAATACAATACAATAAAGTGCTGTAGTTATCAATTACGGTAATACAGTACTTGTAATCACTATCTTACAGAAATACTATCATTTACTGTAAAGGAGCACCATAGTCATTGTCAGACACACAATTATGTAGTCATCATCACTGAGAATACTGTAATAATTCATGAGACAACATAGCAGTAATGCCTGGGTTGTGTGCAGTGAAAGAGTCATATCTTCTTCAGGTGTGTTGGTTAAAAACTTAAACCATTAACAGAGTCGAAATAAACTGAAATGCCACATACTCAACCAGTTATCATAATATTGTATACAGCCTGTACCTTTAAACAGTAAATACAGACCATATGAAGATTAGCCACCCCAGTGTTCTTTCAACTTGTGATCAAACACCCTAAGGGGATTAGATTAGGTTAAGTTATGTTGGAATACGTTAATATTAGGGTGGTTAATCTTAAGATGAAATAAGCTGAGGTGGTAATCTTCATGAGATCTGTGAATACTATTATAATTAATCGTTTATAAAAAACAAGCTCTAACGCATGCATAGAGGAAGACAAGTATTCTGTAAGGTATATTAAACCACAAGCTATATTAACTAGTAGCTCTGAGAGTGAGACTTGACCAACACTAGAGCAGGTTCAGGTACACTCAGGAGCCAGTACATGCCCAGTACTTGCCAACAGTGCGTAACACAGACGTGACCGATCGCCCAAGCGGCTAACGAGCTGATCAGTGGTCAAGAGGATAAAAATAAAATAAAAAAGTAAAGTAAAAAGTTAAATATATCCTGCAGCTGTTTGTGACTATATTTTCCCCTGTGGATGATGCCCACTTGGAGACAAATAATGTATTCACTAGGTCAACAGGTGAGGCTGGGAATTAATCTATTAATTAATTTACTGTACCTTTCTGTTACATCCTTTGAATCTAAGAAAGACTTACCTGTATTATACGCAACAGCTGGTATTTAAAGTAGGAGAATAACATGTACTGCCTCTCGGGTGTAGGCACCTCACTAGTCAGCCATCAGTCGGGTTTGATATAGTGGACCTTAGGAGCCATTTCCGACCCCCCAGATACTTCACCATCTGATACAGGCATATTTCCCAAGACAGTGTCCTCATACAGACAAGGTAAGTGTTTAAGTCGCTCTTTTATAGTGGCTGGTGGTTTAGTACAGCATATTGATACAAAGTTGTTAACATTATCATGGTATGGTGAACCTTCGTATTTATGTTGTTTGTGAGGGCTGTTTACAGTTTGTTAAAACACACCTGACAAGTTAGTCCAGTGGGGATGACATAACTGAAGTTGTGTTGAGGAGACAACCTGATCTCTAAGCCAAGTAGTTCATTCTGTCTAGAGGTGACTTTTATTTCCAAGTTTTGGGGTCAGGTCTCATCTTGAGTGGTTCTCCCTGGTGAGACTTGACAGATAGGGTGTCTCAGAAAAATGTATACACACACACACTGCCTCACAGACTATCATGGAGATGCCGTGAGTGCTGGCATTACAACAGCAACCGTGTCTTCACTTAATGATGTGTGTCTCACAGAACGTTGTGGGAGAAAGTACTGAAGAATGCTAACTTATTAATAACAATTAAACAAACAAACCTTGTAACCACATCTTAGCCGTGTGAATGTATTGTTCCAGATGTTAACTGAAGAAAAAAATCAAATTTCCATTTTGCTTCTTGGGATATAAATGACCTGTATTATATAAAATACAGTACTGTATTTAAGTAATTGTAGTCTGGGATGCTACGGTACAGGTACTCTTATATTTCTCAAAGTTATTAGATAAAAACATAATATAGTTTTCTTATTACCTTCCACCATCAGGTAGACCTGGCCCACAGACTGTAATGCATCTTCACGACCTCGAGCAACCAAGAAGAATTTGGTCAGCATCCCTGGGATAAACACCGGGTCTTGGTGGGTGAATTCATAGGTGGAGGATGAGTTAGGGACCATTTTACCATCTTTACAGGTGGCCTCCACTGTAATGTCACTTTCCTTCACCACAGACAGCTGCACACTGCTCGTATCCTCCTGAAGGGCCGCTGCAAGGCTCACTCTAGTGGTGCCATCATCAATCTTGCTCACCTTGGTGACAATGCTCGTGTGAGGTTCTGACAAAATGAAAATTGTGGGGCTAAATGATGAAGGGCACTAGTATGAAGGGGTACCACTCTGGAGGGGCACCACCACTCAGAAGGGGCACCACCACTCAGAAGGGGCAACACCACTCAGAAGAGGACTCTCTCTAGGATTCACTTCCCCACTTTCCATTCACCCAATCCCTCAGAGTTAACTCGCTGCTCGCCTCCTCCCTCCTTCAACAGCCTGTGTGTGTGGAACTTATGACTTCTACAGCGCCCGTCTCTCCTTAGTGTCAGCTACCTTAAGCTAAGCGACTCTTGTGTATTATACTTCTATCGTCTAAGTGACCTCATGTGCTACTTTGATACTTAGGCAATACCTCTGTGCTCACATGTGACTTTTGTGGTCTTGCCAGTGACCTGATATCATTACCCCTCATGTATTAGTGATGCCAGGTCAGAGACTGTTACTTACCTACTTTATACGGGACCACCACAGTGCTCTTATTCTTGTGTCTGTTTTGGTCTCTTATTCCCTTAAATTCTTGAGCATCTGACTATACCTAGCGTAGCACTGGCGACTTGTCATGACCCCAGCCTATCCAGTTGAAGTAATATATACCAACTCAAGCTGTGGTGGTGGTGGTAGACCTATGGAACAGTTTACCAGCCCATGCAGTGGTGGTGAACAGGAACAAAGGAGAGATCCTACACATGTCAGTGGCCTTTTATCATTTAAACTAATTACAATAGTTAATTTCTATATTCGGTAGTCACCCCAGAAGATCCAATCATGTCACCTAACTGACTTAATGTAATCTGACTGGAAGAACATTCTAACCAAGTTCTGTCCGATAATTTAAAACACAGGAATTATCGTACAGTACATTTATCCTTACACAGAAACATAAACCCAAAGAACCTGACCTCCTGAAATGTGGCTGTTGCTGAAAATTATTTTATATTTCAATATTGTGACAGAAACATGAATTAAAATATGAAATCCTACCCAAATTAACTAGAATTATATTTCATACAAATTAAAATAATAAAATGAAATATTAAGTTTCAAAAAGTATTAGAAAAAAAGAATGTAACAAACATAAGATATTAATTCTGTATTGTTTTACCGAATGAGGAGTCCATGTCGCCGGCCTTTGTTATAATATGGCTGCTGTCGCCTTTTCTCTGCACCGTGACAGTGTAGGAGGAGATCGTCCCAACCAGGAAGTGAGCCACACAGTTCATATTCTTTTCGTTACAACTCACTTCAGTAGCAGGTATGGCGTCCCTGCTCAAAGGAGGACTGTTGTTGTTGATAAGTAATGCTTCTGTTGCTTGGACAGTTGCTTTATAGCTCTCTGGGTTGGGAGTGATCCAGCGCACCTCTAGTAGGTCCTTAGTAAGCTGTTTTGTTTCCACTTGCAGGTCTAAGATAAAACCACACGAGTCAATACAAACCCAATCATTTGTGATATTAGATGGTATAAACACAGAGCTAGTATGAACAACTCCTCCCTTACTCTTAGGGGAGAGATAGCATCTTCCTCAGGTACCATAACAAACCTTGGAATGTTTCCTTTTTCGACTCCAACACTACTTCATCATCCTGAAGGCACACCACGAACACAGAGAAGGCTGGAGGATGGGAGTTTAATTCTACTTCACAAGGAGTTGGAGGGTCAAGTGGACAGTCTTTTATATCATTGCCAGGCGCCACCACCTCAAGGGTCTTCGCTTCTTTGGTGCATTCTGTTCGGACAACCATGGTATTCTGGGTCTTTTGTTCATTTAAGTTCAGATGTACAGGGTTGACCAGTTCTGTTGGTGAATAGGAAAGGATAATCAACGGTTTGTGTGATTGTAACTTCACTACTGTACTACCAAGCTACTCTCTTTGATAAGTTAAGGTGTACACTTTATATAGTTTGTACTTAGATGAGTGTTAATGACATCTGGCTATGGATACTGTACTCTCTTTAAACCTGAACTTATAAATAAACCCCTCTCTTCATAACTAAACACTGTACCAATCTTTCAATTTTAAAATATTCCTATTATATACAGATCAAAACCTCTCACTGAATATTTAGCATCAAGAATGTGACCTTGCTCTTACCCTTAAAATTCGTGGGTTGCTGTTCCATACATTGCTGAACTGTTTCTACTGTGTCGCCGGGAATGTTGTTCTTAAGACTGAGACACAGAGACAAAAGCTTAGTCAAACTGGCATCATCCTCGAAGTAACAGGGGCTCACAGTACTGTTACACTTGTTGTCGGGTTTGTTGCCTACAGTCAGGTCTTCGGTGTTATTGGTGGCAACTCGTAGTGTCGTGCTTGTACTGTCAACCCAAGCCATATCCTCGATGTTGATGGCTGAAAGGTGGTGAAACATCCTTTAAAGTCTTCGAATTACGTGAAGATTAGCTTTCCCCTAGCTTATGACACCTTAAGATCAAATACCCTATAATTAACCTAACCTAATCTAATCTATCCCAACCTACATGACCTGTGTGTGTAGACTTGAAGACGCAGCAACACTTCCATGACACGATCCCATTATTATTATTATTATTATTATTATTATTATTATTATTATGGAGATGGCGTGAGTGCTGGCATTACAACAGCAACCGTGTCTTCACTTAATGATGTGTGTGTCTCACAGAACGTTGTGGGAGAAAGTACTGAAGAATGCTAACTTATTAATAACAATTAAACAAACAAACCTTGTAACCACATCTTAGCCGTGTGAATGTATTGTTCCAGATGTTAACTGAAGAAAAAAATCAAATTTCCATTTTGCTTCTTGGGATATAAATGACCTGTATTATATAAAATACAGTACTGTATTTAAGTAATTGTACTCTGGGATGCTACGGTACAGGTACTCTTATATTTCTCAAAGTTATTAGATAAAAACATAATATAGTTTTCTTATTACCTTCCACCATCAGGTAGACCTGGCCCACAGACTGTAATGCATCTTCAGGACCTCGAGCAACCAAGAAGAATTTGGTCAGCATCCCTGGGATAAATACCGGGTCTTGGTGGGTGAATTCATATGTGGAGGATGAGTTAGGGACCATTTTACCATCTTTACAGGTGACCTCCACTGTAATGTCACTTTCCTTCACCACAGACAGCTGCACACTGCTCGTATCCTCCTGAAGGGGCGCTGCAAGGCTCACTCTAGTGGTGCCATCATCAATCTTGCTCACCTTGGTGACAATGCTCGTGTGAGGTTCTGACAAAATGAAAATTGTGGGGTTAAATGATGAAGGGCACTAGTATGAAGGGGTACCACTCTGGAGGGGCACCACCACTCAGAAGGGGCACCACCACTCAGAAGGGGCAACACCACTCAGAAGAGGACTCTCTCTAGGATTCACTTCCCCACTTTCCATTCACCCAATCCCTCAGAGTTAACTCGCTGCTCGCCTCCTCCCTCCTTCAACAGCCTGTGTGTATGGAACTTATGACTTCTACAGCGCCCGTCTCTCCTTAGTGTCAGCTACCTTAAGCTAAGCGACTCTTGTGTATTATACTTCTATCGTCTAAGTGACCTCATGTGCTACTTTGATACTTAGGCAATACCTCTGTGCTCACATGTGACTTTTGTGGTCTTGCCAGTGACCTGATATCATTACCCCTCATGTATTAGTGATGCCAGGTCAGAGACTGTTACTTACCTACTTTATACGGGACCACCACAGTGCTCTTATTCTTGTGTCTGTTTTGGTCTCTTATTCCCTTAAATTCTTGAGCATCTGACTATACCTGGCGTAGCACTGGCGACTTGTCATGACCCCAGCCTATCCAGTTGAAGTAATATATACCAACTCAAGCTGTGGTGGTGGTGGTAGACCTATGGAACAGTTTACCAGCCCATGCAGTGGTGGTGAACAGGAACAAAGGAGAGATCCTACACATGTCAGTGGCCTTTTATCATTTAAACTAATTACAATAGTTAATTTCTATATTCGGTAGTCACCCCAGAAGATCCAATCATGTCACCTAACTGACTTAATGTAATCTGACTGGAAGAACATTCCAACCAAGTTCTGTCCGATAATTTAAAACACAGGAATTATCGTACAGTACATTTATCCTTACACAGAAACATAAACCCAAAGAACCTGACCTCCTGAAATGTGGCTGTTGCTGAAAATTATTTTATATTTCAATATTGTGACAGAAACATGAATTAAAATATGAAATCTTACCCAAATTAACTAAAATTATATTTCATACAAATTAAAATAAAAAATGAAATATTAAGTTTCAAAAAGTATTAGAAAAAAAAAGAATGTAACAAACATAAGATATTAATTCTGTATTGTTTTACCGAATGAGGAGTCCATGTCGCCGGCCTTTGTTATAATATGGCTGCTGTCGCCTTTTCTCTGCACCGTGACAGTGTAGGAGGAGATCGTCCCAAGCAGGAAGTGAGCCACACAGTTCATATTCTTTTCGTTACAACTCACTTCAGTAGCAGGTATGGCGTCCCTGCTCAAAGGAGGACTGTTGTTGTTGATAAGTAATGCTTCTGTTGCTTGGACAGTTGCTTTATAGCTCTCTGGGTTGGGAGTGATCCAGCGCACCTCTAGTAGGTCCTTAGTAAGCTGTTTTGTTTCCACTTGCAGGTCTAAGATAAAACCACATGAGTCAATACAAACCCAATCATTTGTGATATTAGATGGTATAAACACAGAGCTAGTATGAACAACTCTTCCCTTACTCTTAGGGGAGAGATAGCATCTTCCTCAGGTACCATAACAAACCTTGGAATGTTTCCTTTTTCGACTCCAACACTACTTCATCATCCTGAAGGCACACCACGAACACAGAGAAGGCTGGAGGATGGGAGTTTAATTCTACTTCACAAGGAGTTGGAAGGTCAAGTGGACAGTCTTTTATATCATTGCCAGGCGCCACCACCTCAAGGGTCTTCGCTTCTTTGGTGCATTCTGTTCGGACTTCCATGGTATTCTGGGTCTCTTGTTCATTTAAGGTCAGATTTACAGAGTTGACCAGTTCTGTTGGTGAATAGGAAAGGATAATCAACGGTTTGTGTGATTGTAACTTCACTACTGTACTACCAAGCTACTCTCTTTGATAAGTTAAGGTGTACACTTTATATAGTTTGTACTTAGATGAGTGTTAATGACATCTGGCTATGAATACTGTACTCTCTTTAAACATGAACTTATAAATAAACCCCTCTCTTCATAACTAAACACTGTACCAATCTTTCAATTTTAAAATATTCCTATTATATACAGATCAAAACCTCTCACTGAATATTTAGCATCAAGAATGTGACCTTGCTCTTACCCTTAAAATTCGTGGGTTGCTGCTCCTTGCATTGCTGAACTGTTTCTACTGTGTCGCCAGGAATGTTGTTCTTAAGACTGAGACACAGAGACAAAAGCTTAGTCAAACTGGCATCATCCTCGAAGTAACAGGGGCTCACAGTACTGTTACACTTGTTGTCGGGTTTGTTGCCTACAGTCAGGTCTTCGGTGTTATTGGTGGCAACTCGTAGTGTCGTGCTTGTACTGTCAACCCAAGCCATATCCTCGATGTTGATGGCTGAAAGGTGGTGAAACCTCCTTTAAATTCTTCGAATTACGTGAAGATTAGCTTTCCCCTAGCTTATGACACCTTAAGATCAAATACCCTATAATTAACCTAACCTAATCTAATCTATCCCAACCTACATGACCTGTGTGTGTAGACTTGAAGACGCAACAACACTTCCATGACACGATCCCATTATTATTATTATTATTATTATTATTATTATTATTATTATTATTATTATTATTATTATTATTATTATTATTATTATTATTATTATTATTATTATTATTATTATTATTATTATTATTATTATTATATCACTATTATTATTATTATTATTATTTCTATTATCACTATTATTATTATTATTTTTAATAGGTAGAGTAATGGCCAAACACGATTTTATTAATTTCCTGAATACTTTTTGTGCATCACAGTCAAAATCACGAGACAATAACCAATAGGTATTGTATTATACTCTGTACTCACATATACACAACAAACTCACATGTACACAACTACAGTAACTCACATGTACACAACAAACTAACGTGTACACAACTACAGTAACTCACATGTACACAACAAACTAACGTGTACACAACTACAGTAACTCACATATACACACTAGCTCATACACTATATGTAGGCCCTTATTTTTGAGACAACTCTCTGAGACTGTGTTATACATTGCACTGAGAGAGAGAGAGAGAGAGAGAGAGAGAGAGAGAGACTGACTCGCCTTGTAATGTGATGTAAGCGGGACCAACAACCCCAACATCACCATCTTCCTTGTAGCCAATAGCAAGAAAATCCATCGTAGTAGTTCCCTCACCGTCCAATATATCATCGTCGAACTCAAATCTAAACTCACCATCGTCCTTTACTTTTCCCTCATAGTAAGTTTCCCTGTACGTTCGAGAGTCTCCCTGATTTACCAGGATTAATTTAGCCACGGTGACTTTGGTGATGCCTTCAGAGTGGGACGCCATCGTGATCGCCGACTTAGTTGTCTGTTCTGTGTCGATTATTTGCGTCAACTTCGTCACCTTATTCTTCTGTGGAGTTGTATCTGTAATTTATAATGGTGATGAATCATAGCACTGTATTCTCTTATGAACACTGCAGGGTTAATAAACTCGGCTGTATGTCTGTCATGTTTAGGCCAATATGACTAAATTAAAGCTTTTGCATTGTATTAAATCAACAATGAGTGGATTTTATTTATTTTTTTAGGTTATTGTATTTTCTTTTACAGTTAACTTCAATTTTTTTTCTCGTAATCTTATCAATCATGTTTTCTAATTTATTTAATCTGATTCTTTGATGGCTGCCTCTGTCTCTTTACAAATACTGTACCTACATTAACATAATAAACACCTTGAATTATCTGAGGACACCTATGAAGTATATTGTGGTTAGGTTAAGTTAGGTTATGTGAGAATGTATTAAAATATGATTAACAGGACTGATAAAAGGTGACGAGACTTCTTGAGAGAATTCCTTACCCACGTATAGTTTAGCTACTAGAGTCCATTCATCTCTCTCCCTCTGAACCACTAACTTCCCAAGATTCAGACTCGTGAACCCGAAGCAGTAGATTGATACATTATTCAATCCCATAAATGCTTCGGATTCGTGAGTCTGAATCTCGGGGGTTCATGGTTCAGGGAGAAAGGTGAATGGCCTTTAGTAGTTGAATATGAACAGGTCAATGTTAGTCTTCATCCTACAGGTCAATAAGCAGGGTCAATGTTAGTCTTCATCCTACAGGTCAATAAACAGGTCAATGCTATTCTATTCGTACTAAAAGGACACAAGAACAAAAGTAAAACGTACCAGTAATTTTTGTTGACTGGACACTGTTACTGGTGTCGTTCTTCTCTACACTGACCATCGGAACCTCTGATAAGTCTACATTGACTACGTGTCCCCGGCAAGTGCCATCAGTGCTAGCCGGGCAATTGATGGTCACCTTCGTCTCCTCTTTGGTGGTGGAGGCACTGACAATGTAGGTACCCTCGGTGCCATGTCTCCAAACAACCAACGCAGCATCACCAGTGAGTTTCGCCGTTGATATCTTATACACTGTAAACATGGATAATCACCTTCAGGTTATTAATTATGTGTATTGAAAGTGGGTTAAATTATTACCATATTTAACTGTACTGTTTGTTTAGTTTTAGTCACTGTAATTGTTGTGGTAATCCCTGTGTACGGTAATTCTACTTCATCACATGTACTGTTTAGTTCTGACCAATGCAACACTCACTATTTAAACTCTAATAAAACTACATTATAAGACTTACATAAGACTCACTCCATTTAATAATATCACAGTGTTCCTAATCGTATAGTATTTATATTTATTCGTAGGATCTAATTTCACCTAATTGATCATTTCACAAGTTTTTAACCTTTCGGGAGGTCGCCAAGTCGGTCTGTTGTTAGTGCAGGAGGAAACTCGAGTGATGACTAAACCTGTCTTACATCTGAACTGGGTCGGGGACTGAACCCAGGACACAATTATAAGAGGCAAATGCGTTTCTGCTGCACTACCAACTTCACCAAGTAACTCCAGATAACTTTTCATTATTATTTTGAACGTTTTATTTTAAGTGTACTATTTATATTTTTGACTATTATTACTGTATCTATTACTCTTAAAACGTGAATAATATTTGAAGCCTTATATTTTCCACATCTTTTTCATTTGTAAATATGGTTATAACTATACTGTGTTATATCTCAATATGACTATCTTATTCATGACTACTACTACTATTATTATCATCTTTGGTGGAATAATGGTTCTATCTAGAGACAACAATCAAACTATAATTCTTACCTTCAAAACGGACCATGGCAGCCTCTGTCACATAGCCATCACTATTCAACAGGACTACCATGTTATTGATCACATCCTGTTTATAATCCTCATCGCTTAGTGTTGCCTTGCAGCTTTGTGGGTCCTCCCCCTCTGTCACGCAATCAATCTGAGACAAAATGTTCTTGTCTTCCGGCTTAGAAACAATGACTTGTACTGAAGAAGCATTTGATTTGTAGGTCACACCCAGGGCTTTTACCTCCTGCTGCAGTAACAGTGTTGGGGTGTCAGCCATTTCTGGAAAAGGGAATGTCCTTATAGGTAGACATTGTGGGAACATCCAGCAGTATATGGCTCACGAAGTACAACGTGGCTAAGTTAAATGGCTTTCCACGTAACTGCACTAGTACTGGCACAATAAAAACGACTTTCCCCAGGATCACCCAAACAAAACAATTACGTTGTTCAAAACATTATGAAAGCGGTTTAAACATTAACCCTTGACTCACCAGAGTAATGTATATGAGTTTCTCTCATATCCAAAACAAAGTCAGTTTCTTTTAACATGATTAATAAGATGGTACAACTATCGTCTATATGTAAAGCGATAAAGTAGGGCCTTTATCATGCCCTCTTAAAACATATCCCTGTTTAAGGCTGGTACTGTACTGTACTGGACTGTACTGTACATTTTACCCAACACCAATACAGTATATTATTCTTGTGGTCTGACAGACTAGTTGTTATTTTCAGATAACGATCAAGATCTTTTACCTTTTTGACTCCAATTCTCACCAGCTGTTGGAGTCAATCTAAGGCTTCCTGTCAGTTTCTTTAGACAGATTAACTCGCTATATGTCTGGTTAATAAGAAGGATCATGCCAAGCAACGGCAGGTCCTCAAACATATCATTTTTCATTTCAAACACGAATTTGAATAAGACAAGGACAGTTATTCCCATATTGATGTATGTTATTTTTTCTTATACTATACAATACACAAACAAAGATATTAAAGCGTTATTTAAGCAAAGTAACTGATTCTGGAATTTTAGATTGAATCACGACTTCCAGAAGTAATCATAAAATATATGGGAAGTAAGTGGAGGAAGGTGGTCCGCTTGAGTAATGACTCGGTCGTCCACTAAGATTGTTTACACACTATTTTCTCTTCTCCATCAGTATCTCTTAATATAACTTCCACTGAGTCACTGGGCTGCCAGATCACTCTTTCCCCAGCCATCTTCCATGCAGTCAATTTTGTCCCCTTGACTGTGACACCTGCTGGCTAAGTGTCCCAGTCTTGGAGGTAATACACGAGAATATGGTAACTGTAGTAACACCAGTGAGAGGATGGCAGCTACTTCACTTATGGTAATTCTCGAAGTACAACTTGCCTTCCCAGTGATGGAGTTTTTTAAATTCATAGAAAAGATTCTCCTCTCTCCCGTCTTTCAAATATTTAAAGTCAAAACAGTGCTTACGGCTCATTATTCCATATCATCCATTTGAAGAGTGTGTACAATATTTCATTTTCCTATTTTCTTAATCGTAATGATGTTATTTAACATAAGACTAAACGAAAATTTAAGAATATTGGCAATGACTAAAGTTGTTGACAGAAGAGTAAACTTTTTAAAAATGTACAATGAGTGATAGAACTTACCCTGAGATTGACCGATAACATCATCACAATGCTTGATGGTCTTGTCGCCGGCAGTGAGGTCCTTGCATCTGGGTATTTGAAGGTCATCCATTAGGTCCGTCCTGGGATAATAACAAGGGCTGTCTTCTTGATTACATACTACCTTGTCTTTTACAGGCACATTATCTAAAGTTCCAGTCTCCACGCGAAGGTAACTCACTTCATCATCGCTTGTCCCGACCCACGCCACTCTTGTTCCCAGATCTGCCAGGATACAGCAATAATGAGAAACTTAATCCAATCCTAATTAAATTCATCTTCAAAACATTTTTAAACCCCTGAATAAATCATAACTAGAATATTAAAACGGGCAGAGTGGATAGAGTACACTGAACACTAAGCCAAGTAGGGAAGCACTATACCAGACTACTTTCACCTTTCACGTCTCGAACTTATAACGTCAGGTAGCCATTTCAGGTTAAGTGGGATAGGGTTAGTACGGGCACAAACCATTAACCTGTAGGACTAAAGGTAAACACTTTAGCCATATTGCTCCTGCATCTTATAGCAATATAAATTATACATATTAGTTTAGATGTATAACTGGGGGTTAGATTATCCTAGTCTGGATTTATTTTTTGTGTAACCTTTGATAACACACACACACACACACACACACACACACACACACACACACACACACACACACACACACACACACACACACACACACACACACAATGATTATGACGCTAGTGGAACATAAATTAAAAGTATGAATATTAAAATAGCCATAAAGACATACATATGAATACAAAAGAAACCTGAGAGTACTTCATTATGTATTCTGGGCTACACAATGTTTTACCTATTACTGTGTCTAAACGGTGTTGAACATTGGCAAAGAAAGCACTCAGGAAACTACTGTATTGGGAAGGCAAGTTCATGATAGAAATGGGATCAAATGGAAAATTGTGAACGCATGACAATTTAAAGATAATAATAATAGTAAAACAGTTATTATTATTGTTATTATGGTAGGTTGAATCAGTGGTTGGTGACAGACTGAGGGAGATAGTTGGGACACATTGTTGAACGGGAGAGAATAATAATATGGAAAGGTATGAGACGGACAACTGGGGAACAAGGCAACAGCAAGGAGAGAGATGGGAGTTACGCCCTACAATATGATATTTATGAAAAAGACAAAAGAAAAAAGAAAAAAAAAGTATCTTTCTCGATAAATTGTAATTACTGGTTGACAGGGTTACCCACAACTGGGTCAGTGCCTCGGACCACACCGTCACTTACCTTCTATGTCGACCACTGCATAATAGAAAGCCACATCATCCCTGGTCAAATTGTTTGTTACGTGTAAAATGGTAATGTTGGAAGGAACAAAAGTGCCTTCAAATTCAATGGTCGTCTCTTCACCTGGTGGACATGTTTCATTGACTAAAGTTATGGAATTATAAACCACAAAGTTTGTGGAATTTTTAGAATATAGCGTCCATGTTGTGTAAGCTGGTATGCTTTCATTAGGCTGTATCACCACCCGTATATTCTGCTTGATTCCTTGAGGGTCGTCCTTTCTGTTGACCTGGCGGATCTCTTTCAAGTCTATGGTTGTTGACGGAAACTGGGGAGAGTTCTCTGAAAGGTAAGAGAACGGCGTTAAAATCTTAATTCTCCACCACCTCCCTTCCTTCTCTTCCTCTCCTCTCTCCCATCTTTCTTTAATACTACAGTACTCTCTATGTTCGTTTTAAATCACATTAAGATTACGCATCCAAGCTTATTCACCTGGAGTTTGACCTCCTTAACGCTAACCTAACCTAACTTCCCACTGTAACTACAACCAGGGCTGCTACAATAAGATCCTCCCGTCAAATTTTCTTCATTGTTAAAGTAAATATACGGACATTAGGAAACTTGTCATGATCTTAAAGAGGGGAGCTTGGGCGCAGGTAATCTCACATCACAGTCTGTCAGATAGAAGAGATCTCACCTTCTTGGGTTGCAGTAGTCAGGGAGGCGAGCGAGGAGACTGCCACTACCCACACCACCAGCCACAGAGAGACCATAGTGAGGACCTCCTACACTCTCTTGACCCTTAGTTGATGTCACTTCTCTGGGAGCCCTTAGTTGATGTCACTTCTCTGGGGGGCCCTTAGTTGATGTCACTTCTCTGGGGACCTTAGTTGATGTCACTTCTTTGGGGGCCCTTAGTTGATGTCACTTCTCTGGGGCCCTTAGTTGATGTCACTTCTATGGGGACTTCAGCTGATGTCACCTCTGCACCTGTGTAAAACCTGAAATCACACAACAGGCTGAATTTCTAAAGCTTATTACGACAAGAATAATGTCATACTATAACCATTAACTTCAGATATGCTCGCCTCATATCTCGTG